TTTACTTAACTCCTTATAAAAGTAGGTCAGTAGAGTTCTCGACAGTGAATACAATTGATGCAAAATAGAAATTTCGTTGTTACTGCACCTTTATAAATTGCAATGCATGGCAATATGAAAAAAGTGAATAACATCCAATAAATGTGAATAGTTACTGTACTAAATATACATATCTATTGGGGCGAAAAAGCATTTTGGTAAAGACAATTTATTTACGGCAAGTGAACTCCTTCCTCAAATATGTAACTTTACATCACCTTTCACTTTATTTAAACTATAAAAGTAATTTCTTTCATAACAATGAATAATATTAATGATTTAAACGACGTCGTGAGTAATTTCTATTCTGGACCATCTCATACTCTATGGTATACAACATTTTATATTTACATACTAGCTATGAAGGTTACCGCAATTATTTACATATAGGTACAACTCTTCAAAACACTGTAAAATTACACAAGCATGCCAGATACAGATAGATACTAAAAGCTTATATGGTTTAAGAGAGGTCGCGGATTTTTCTCCCGGGTTTTATGGCGTCGCCGACTCGAGAGGTCCCGGGTTCGAATCCCGGTGGGGGCAGATGTTTGTGTGATAAACACGAGCATTTGTACTTCAGTCATAGATGTTTAATATGTTTTTCTATATAAATATACTTATATATGTAAAGTATATGTATTCGATCCGTTACCCTAGTATCCCATAACACAAGCCTTATAGTGCTTACTTCGGGGCTAGGCTAAATTGGTGTGAGTGTTGGAAATATTTATATATTTATTTTATTTATTTCTTTCTTTCTAAAAAAAAACAATAACAAAAATACGGAAATCGCCGGATGGCACACTTGCCCTAATTAGCATTCAGTTGAAACACATTGTTTTACTGATTTCACTTAGTTAGGTTAGGTTACTGAAATCATGTAAGTACTCCAAATGCAGGATCCTCGACCGGTTATGTGGCTCGGCCTGTCGGGCGTCGCGGCTGGTCGTGCTCTGTGGCCGCTCGAGATGGTGATAACACCACTCGACCCGCCGCGGGGATCGGCCGGTCGAGGAACCTGACCAAGCTGAGTGGCTCGACCGGTCGAGCTACTCAGCTATTCGAATCGGGATACTCAACAGGTCGAGGGTAACCCATGTGCCTCAGCAACGGTCATAAGACCTTTATCTTCTACCTTTCATTCTTCCTTTTTCTCATCTGATCCTCTGATCAAATTCTCTCTTTTCCTTCCTCGCTAGGCCCATCTTGCTTCGCTCTGGCAAGTGGGGCACCCCCTTCTTTAAATCCGTCCCCTTCTGTCCATCCGTCGACCACCTAGCACGTTATAGCTGGTGGTCGTCCTCAGATATTTCCCTCAAATCAAATACAAAGTCCCTAGTTCCTGTTAAATCACCGAACGGGGATCACGGGCCCCATTATCCTAATATGCCCAGGGCCTCCAATAGGCCAAAGACGACACTGGTCGTCCTTGATAGTGACGGGCTACCGATCATGTGCGTCGCCCGCCATGAAACACTGGCGGCCGGGACACTGGTTACTAGCCCGTCACCGTTACCAGTTATGACTTAGTTTTTTAAAAAATATTCTGAATTATGTGAATTATAATTACCACTTCCGAACAACTCAGCTTTAAAAAAAACTTGACGGTGGAGGTCCAATTCGAGCAAAAAATCTACGGTTTGCCCTACCTCTCTTCAAGTAACATTTTCTTTAGGTTTAAACATCTAGCAGTAAAATGTTTAAATAAAACTACAATGAATCATTTACTTTGAAGAATTAACTTTCGATGAAATTTATAAGCATTTGAAACAAAACAATCGAATTTACCGGATATTTAAAAGTATAAAGCCTACATATTTTATATAATTAACGCATTTTATCTCTTAACTGCTCAAAATATTATTGAGTGTTCGTTTTAATATCGGTATTTACAAACAAAATAATGGCATCAACTTTTGCCATTACTTATAAAAATTGGCAGAAATATAGAACAGGTTAACAGGTCACATTGAGTGCTATAGGAATAACGATCTGTGGCAGATTTAAAAGCTGAAAGCACTTAGCTTACTCGCTCGAGGCGAATGCTTGAAGGAAACAAGGGTAACCCATTTATATACTGTGACAATTTGACCAAGAAGGACCTATAGGGCGTTCCAATTAGGATTCTAACTAACGAACACGAACCGAGACGACGTCATCTTAGCTTAAATTATTCATAAATTCAGAATAGTGCCGCCTTACTCGAGTGACGTGTTTGTTCCTGAGTGAAGCTCGAATGTCGTGGTGAACTCGTCTCGCATCGGAAAACTGTGGCTAAGTTCACTATTTACAAGCAAAACCTGTAAATTTGCGCAGTTGATGTTTTTATATGAAAAATTACCACAGCGCATGCTTCATTTCTACGGTCTTTGCCGCAAACACATTGAGCGTGTTTGCCGCGATGTATAACTCTGCTTAACATTCGTTGAAAATATATTTTTTCTTTAAATCCCTACGGTCGACAAAACGATTAGGTGTATTATTAATAAGATAAAATCCGAATCAAAAGGATTTTTTTATTTATTTACTTAAGGGACAGTACACAGCTTATATTGGATTTACAATCAATCAATAAAATGTGAAAGCCAATTACGACTATCCACGTATCACAGTAAGGTTTAAAAACGAACAGACGTGATTACACGTCATTACGAAAATATGAGATGCTGACAATTACCAACACAGTGAAACAAAACAAAATATAAATAAATACAGACCTTATCTGTTCTCAGGATAATATATCATCATCAGCCTTATAATTTCCCCACTGCTGGGGCACAGGCCTTTCCCTATGGATGGAATAGGGAGATTGGGCCACGACCCACCACGCGGGCCCAGTGCGGATTGGTGGGTGCTAACGATTGCAGCTGCAGCCAGGACCAACGTCTTAACGAGCCTTCCGAAGCACGGAGGAACTCGAGATAGTGAATTTTTGGTCACCCATCCAATGACCGACCACTACGAAAGTTGCTTAACTTCAACTATCGCAGCCGAACGCGCTAACCACTTGCGCCATCGAGCTCCTCAATATATAACCTAGTTTTTTCTAATAAATCGGAAGGACAGACTAAGGCAGAAGTCCGTACCTAGCCGGAGAAATATGAATGATGGTGAACCTACTGATACGAGAGAGATACGAGCCGTGTCTAGTCTCTATATTTTGTTTGTGTTAGTACTGACTGTCCATGAATAAACAGTGCTACAGATCACAGACACCGTTGTTGCTCTAGAATTCCCTTGCGAAATGGATACGACGTAGGTATTCCGTTATTATTAATTAGGTCCTGTCCTCCTTGATTAACGCTTTGTTCTCCGAGCTAAGCATAATTTTGAAACGGTTAAGATAAGAACCTTCCCAAATACGTCAGAAACAACAAAGGTTTTGTTGTTTCTGAGGTACTTGAGATGGTCCGAGACCACTTTCTACTTCATTTCAGCATTCCTTTACCTACTCAACTTAGAATTTTTATATTATTTTGGATAGCTAAAAGAAATATTGAGTTATTCTTATGAATACAGGTTAACTTTCATATATTTGTTTAATAACGTTTACGTTTGTTAAACCAAGTAACGAATTGGGGCCGACTTAATCTAGTCCAATTTAACCCTACGAAGACACAAGTATGCGAGTTCACCGCAAAAAAAATACCATTTGTCGTATCTCCTTTCTTTGAGAACACTCCTCTAACTGCCTCAGCGAGTATTGGAATTCTTGGCGTTGAAATATCGAGCGACGTGCAGTTTCGGGATCATTTAGAGGGCAAGGCCAAATTGGCCTCTAAGAAGCTTGGTGTGCTCAATAGATCGAGAATGTACTTCACACCGGCCCACCGACTGCAACTTTATAAGGCACAGGTTCGGCCTCACATGGAGTACTGCTCTCATCTTTGGGCGGGGGCACCCCAGTACCAGCTTCTCCCTTTAGATCGCATCCAGCGACGAGCGGCTCGAATCGTCGACGACCAGGACCTTTCCGATCAGCTTGATCCTTTGGCTTTGCGTAGGGATGTAGCATCGCTCTGCATCTTCTATCGCATTTATCACGGAGAGTGTTCTGAGGAATTGTTCGGATTAATTCCAGCTGCTGCATTTCGCCATCGTACATCGCGACAAAAATTTCATCCCCATCATCTTGATGCGTGGCTATCCACAACCGTGCGTTTTTGTCGAAATTTTTTACCACGTACGACAAAACTGTGGAATATATTGTCGCCAGCAGTGTTTCCGGACCAATACGACCCAAAAACCTTCAAAAAAAGAGCGTTCTCCTTCCTTAAAGGCCGGCATCGCATTTGTGATACTCCTGGTGTTGCAAGTGTCCATGGGCGACGGTGATCACTTACCATCAGGTGAGCCGTCTGCTCGTATGCCACCTATAACATAAAAAAAAAACCATAGGAAAATTGAGACAGAGTGTAACCAGATAGCAGGATTATAAAGTTTAATTATTTAAAATAAAGAATAAAACTTTTGATCGTGATTTAAATCCTGGATTGGTACCTATGTCTTTTACATAGAAACAATAAAAAGTCTGGCCCAAGAGAAAAAACAATAAACAAAGTTAGAACAACAAATTGTATTTTTAAGAAATAAATTCACTCATTTTTTTAAACGGATAACTTTTTGACTGCAGGCCATAGGGTCAAATTCATCAGCAATGCCCTACTTAAATAAGTATAAGTTGACTTTTTCAGTAACCCTGTATCTATATTATTTCTCAAAGAAGTGAAGATGTATGAAATAAACTTAAATATTTTTTTAAACTCCCATTAATAATTTTTTTACTTGAAAACCGTCGCTCAAGCCTTCAGCTCGTATTAACAAACTACTCCGTCTAACAACTATTTTATAGACTTTCATATTTTAGTCAAACAGGCCACGGAAACAACGAAAGTACGATAAAAGTTACAAGATGGTTAGAACTCTTTTCATAACATACCATAAACTGCCATAACTGACAATCATTACTTCACTCACGACCCAACACGCGGAAAAAAAAACAACAACAACTCAGAAATTTATCCACCGAGATGAATATATAATCTTTCAGTAAATGCTGGAATGAAATGACTAAAAACAAAACTGGATCCATCAACAGAAAGCAATGCTCTTGCTACCAAGGCAAGAAATGTGCTGGATGCCGTTCGAAAAGGATCATAAAGTAATCTTACATTTTACATGTCTCGTTCAATAATTTCGTCAAGAACACATGTAAGCTAATGTATTTATACCGTGTGGCGAAGTACAAAAGGTGGGTACCCTCATAGCGAAATAATGAAGGCTAAGTTTCTTTATAATGCCATCTTCACAACTCAGATATGCTCAGATTACATCAGAAAAAACGCAAAAGTTCACCATTTTTAATCAGGTAATATTCAAGTAGGTAGACTTTCTTGATGATGTTAGGTATTAACGAAATATTTCTATTGTTGTCGATATCTAACTGCCAGATTTTTTAAGTAGTTTAACACATAATACATACGTACAGAATGATAATGTGTAGGTAATGATGGAATAAATACCTAAAATAAAATAAATGGTAACCGAGGATTAAGAACCCTTATAAACATATTTGTAACAAATAGTGTATAAAAACTACTTTCATTATTTCAGGCCACAAATCTTCTTAGAAGAGCCACACCGGTTGACAGTGCCCATAGTTATCAGCCACTACAGACATAAAAAACCAGTCACCGTGAACAGGACTACAGGCAATACGTGGGGGTTTCGCAATAAAGATAATAATGAAAAACCATCTACAGGGACGACAGTATGCCGCTGGTACAAGAAACGGAGGGCCTTGAAGCGTCTAGAGAGAGAACACGACAAAGAACAAAAAAGAATCCAGCAGACAGAGAAAACACGCCGAGAAGAAGAGTTGCTGCAACAATTACTGAAACGTGAGCAATACCTGCAAGAGATAAACAAGAAACGAACGCAAAAAGTTTTTACACCACCATCCAATGCAGTCCAGAAAGCAAAGGTTCAAACCAAAGTGAAAAAAGTACGCCATGGAAGGGCGACCAGTGTCAAGCCGAAAGCCCAATCTAAATATGTGACTGTAAATAAATAGTAAGTTAGCAGCTTTTCAATAACAATTTTGATAGGTTAGTAAAATGATAGAGAAGTCAAAACTGTGCAACAAAGTCAACCGAATAGAGTAAGATACGGCAGAACGAAGTTAGATTTGGTTAAAATGGATGTGCATAGAAAAGAGGCAGTAACGGATTTTTAGACAAATAAATCCAAAATCGGTCAGGTACGCCCTAATCAAAGACTACTCAAAGTAATTGGAATACAAAATCAGAAATTATTAAGACAACAAATTTTCTGAAAATTGTTAATTTAATAATAAACTTAAGCAATTAAGCCAGTCTCCCTAGTTTGGTCTGCTAACATTCCTGTGGAGATAGAAAGTCATTAACCAAACAGTTGAGGATAGAAAAAAAGTCTATGTATGGAGTGGTAACTTTAAAAAATGCATTCCGATATCCAAATTTAAATCCAAAGGTTTACACAAACAGTTTAAAAAAATAATCAGTACCTGTTTCAAAATTGTCAATCTAAGTTTTGTTTGTTTAATGTGATAAGATAATTATTGTATTTTTATTTTGCTTCAATTAATCACTCTGCACAGTGTAACATTATTATACCTGCCTAAACTATGAAAGTATATAGAGCGCTGGCAACAAACAAGTCCCATTAGAAGGGTCCAAGATAAACAAAATTAAACACCACGCGAAACGATCCGGTGTTGTGTTTACCTTTACTTAAGTGCTTAAACTTAAATTTATTATTTTGCAAAACGACGACAGTTAATAATTCGTCTCGGGCCGTTTGTTTGCCCATAATTAAAGTGAAGTTTTACGATGAGCCGACAGCAAAACAAATTGTTGTTTCTAGGTAAGTAGTTAATAGTTGTTCCTAACTGAAAACCATCAAAAACGGTGACTAGTGGCCAAACAATTACACTTGTAAGTATAGCAGAGAGCTAACCATGTGGGAAAATCGAGAAAAATCTATCATTCTACAGAATTTTGTGACACATAGAAATGAGATCAAATGGACGCACTAGTAGAAAAACGCATTATAGGTTTGTACTTAATGCATTTTTGCATTGAAAATTAAAGGAACTTCCTAATTAGTGAAGACTTTTTTAAACAGAAATGTTTGAGAAAGGTAATTCAGGAAGTAGTATACAAAGTCGTGTATTCCTTCCTTTATTTTTTGTTATATAACTAACGGACACTTTTACTTTGACATTGGCTGAATGCTCAAACCGTGTATGCCAAAAAAAATTAGCGGACCTGACAGACTGGATAAAAATACCTAAGGTCACCCGGGGCTATTGTGGTCAAGGGGCAAATGTAGCTGTTTCAAATATTAAAATAAGTCACATCTGTGGCTCTGTAGAGTAACTTTTATTGACCTACATATTATTAGATTTCGCTATTAACACGTAAACTGTTTTACTTCTGTGTTACTTATAGAGTCATTTATTATTCCGTCGTTTTTTCACATGTTACAACGCAGAATGTAAAAAATGTTTCCAATAACTTTTTTGCGCAATATTGGAAGGTGTCTTACATTTTACCGTGAATTGATAAACGATTAATCATTTTTCATGAATTCATTTTATCCTATGCTTATGTAAAGACAAATTTTTTGAGACAACTACGTTTGCCCCTTCAAATATTGTGAGTGGGATAAGGGTAGCTCCTATGGTATTATTTAAATTATTTAACATTATATACGAGACTTATTGATTATATTGTAGTAGTGCCTAAAGATATCAGTTTACCACCCCTGATAGTACTTTAAGTAATTTTAAAGCAAATTAAACTCTAATACTGAGCATTAAAGTACAAAATTAGTACCTAACATTAAGTTGCACCTGACTTTTACTATTTTGGGAATTATAGATAAACCAACAACGACATACGGATAGTTAGCGACATTTACCCCAGATCGGGGGCAAATGTGACTATGGTGGCTTTAAGATGGAATATCTTCAATTTAAAATAAATTTATTGATTTTCTATCAATCTTAACTCGTCTTACGTTATCATTATCAATACATGTGTAACTTAAAGAACTAATAATATTTGAATATTTACTAAATTGTATTAAAAGTGTAAAAATATTCAAGTCACAAGTTTGAAATAAATTATTAGTAGCTACAATTACCCCGGGTGACCTTATAACAAATTCTGGAACCCGACTCCAGCGGGTCAGACCGACCCATCGGTTATAGTTCTAACTAAAAGTTGAATTTCCTCACATTTTAAAATTTCCTGCGAAACTTTGTTTTTCCATAATGAAAAAGTTGTTCTACAAATATTAAACTTAAAAAAATATGGATGATATCGGTAAAGCTTAGAGCATATATATACATGCTCTAAGCTGTAAAATCGTTCTCAAGTCATGGCCTGACCAAGGGCAATAGGAATTCATTTATTTATTTAAAGATTGATATCCAAGTAGATCTACCAAACAAACCGAAGCAAACCCTTTGCCTTTATCAAAAAATTGGGACATTAAACAGGAATCTAATAATCTCTACAACAGACTACTAAAACCCATTCCGCCTTATTCCAAAACGCAGACTAGAGTTCGTCTTGGTTTAAACCTGACGTTGTATTTGTCTTTGTCTGTCTAGCAAACAAAAGTGTCAGCATCCGTTTTAGTCCAGGTTTAACTTTAGTCTAAAATTTTAATAGACGGATTTTGATTACCACAAAAATCATTGACGTACCAGCATTTATATGATGAATCAACAATCTGTGTTCTTTCAGCAACCGCTCCCAATCGTTGAGCGAGCGGTTTGTGAACTGGTTCTACCGCACGTGCTGCCAACTGTACTGCTGTGTATCCATCGTCCTCGTGCTGGGAATAACGGTTATAATTCTCATATAACCTGTCTTTCTTTTTTAAAATAAATAGTATGTACCAACATATCCGACGTTTTTTTTAACGTGATATACATAGATATAATTATTTATGATATTATGTAAGTAAGCACATTATGTATGGTTAGTGATAAATAGGCAAAAATCTTATAATTCACATACACACATTGCAGAATACCACCTCACAAACCATCCTACGAGTAGCTCTCAGTCATCTTTGCCTGCATAGTGATACGAATCATGGCCCAATCTCCCTATTCCATCCAGAGGGAAGACCTGTGCTCCAACAGTGAGACATTAATAGGCTGATGATGATGATGATGACAGTAGGTATTGAGTGTAAATGATAAAGTCAAGTTTTGTGTTTACACATAGAATAACAATGCACATAATCTACAGTCACCATCGTCCAGAATACTTACTTAACCTTAAATATCTCCTACCTAAAACTAATAACTGTTGGTTTTCTTTCAAATATGTGTCATATGTCAAATCATAACCGCTCAAACCGTAACCAATCACTGAGTAGCCCTACACAATAATCTGAGGGTTCTGTATACAGCCATTGTAAGTTGAAATGTAATGTTTTGATTGAGTAAATAAATAAAAATAATGAAATAAAGATTAAATGTTACTCGCATGCTTATTTTATCAGTGCACACTACAAGCAAACGGAGGGGATTGCTGTCAAAACTGAATTGAAACGCCGAATCCAATGGCTCCACGCTCGCTTGTGTGTTGTTCCATGTTTGCTATAAAATCCGCGTGGAGAACAACCTTCAATCGCTGCACTAATCACTTTCTCCACTGTTTGGAAAATGTATCAGAGGTTTTACTTACACAGAAATTGATAATCTTTCAGATGAGCGTTGGCTTTTTGTGATCGACCATACTAGATACCTGTTTCGGGGGCCCTTATCATGCTGCTACCACTGATAAAGCCAATCTTATTAATATTTAGGAGAGCTTGCACCACAGCATTATCGTACACCTCTCCTCCCTATTCCAAGGAATAAAAAACTAATTTATCATACTACAGTTTTACCTGAAATTACATTTTTGAGTCTTTTTTTACCCGGCTGCGCAATGCAAGAGCGCGAAGCGCGACGCGCAGACAGGGTATAGTGTTTAACAGTCTATATATGTATGTTTGTTCCTTTGTGGCAGACTAGAGACCAAACGCGTGGAACGATTTTGATGATTCATACATCAATCGATTCGTCTCAATCATGGGAGTGCTACTAAAGATATGATAGTAATCAGAATTCAATATGGGCAGAATTAGGCGCCATATTGTGACGAAGTAAAAAAAAGTTAACAAAATATGTCGAGTGGGGTATCACTGTCTAGATAATCGAAAATCACATTTAGGTTCCTAACACCATTTTTCATTTTATATGATTGTTTACGATCTACAACGCTTTAAAAATGTATATTAACCACTTGCGCTTTTAATTTCAATCTTACGTTTGTATGGATCTTTATTGCTCTTTCACCTAAAAAATACTGAATGGATTGTAATGAAACTTAACAGTGATATAGCTCATATATGATAATATCATATATAGATAATAATTTATGTAGTTATTGAGTGAATTGGCCAAAATATAACAATAAGTGTCACATAAGACGGAAAAAAAATTCCCATCTGCGAGCCATTTTAGCCTGCACTGCAAAAACAATAAAAGTTACATGAATGTAATGTATTGAGAAAATGTATCTTTTAAATAGTTCTAAAAAAAAGTTCGTGACACCATATATCTATTTTTAATGTGTAAACCATTACCGCTAAAATAGTGAATCAAAACTTAAATATTATTTGATATCTATTTCCAAAATATACATTTTGTATTAACAAATTATTTTTTTATCAAAAACAAATACTTTTACCGCTTTTGATATTTAAAGACGATAAACTTTGCCTTTTACACTATGTCATTTTGACAAATATTTAAAAAGTTACAACGATGAAAAAGTGATAGCGCGGTGTACTATGTACTGTTCAACAGGGCCTGGATCGAATGCAGCAGCGTGGGATTGTTATATTGATAAGTGATGTGAAATGAAAAATTGTATGATGGCGGCACACGTTTATTCTTGCAGGGCACAAGGTGGAAAAAAAAAAAAAGGGGCGACAGTCACATCTTATAGGTTAGGCAAAGAGTTAGATAGACAAACATAATTTACTTCCTACATAGACAATCCTTTACACTCTTTTTCCATAAAAAGTAAAGCAAAGGATTATACAACCACAGAGTATATAGTGTACCTAAGTTTAACATATAACAATATATCTTAACACTTCCCCTTACACTATATACTACCAATAATTACCTATGAATACATTACAAGAGCATATACACAGAGTTAGAGATATAGTAAAAATCATTTTTACAAATATACTCCAACTACAAACTTTAAACTCAATGTTTCAAAACATAGGCATTACATTTAAACCATCCATGAAACCATAATGTTTCGCAGGAGACAAAGCCTTCGTTAATATATCAGCTATCATACAATCAGTCTTCAGATAAGTAATACAAACAAGACCTTTACATATCAAATCTTTTACAAAATGATACCTGATATCGATGTGCTTTGTTCTCTTATGACACTCTTTAGATTCTAAAAGCCTAATAGCACTCAAATTATCATTTCTTAATTTACAATGTAGCTGCCATCCCGTCAATTCTTTCCAAAAGTTACATATAAACAGGATGTCCCTGCAACAATCACTAATAGCAAGATACTCCGCTTCAGTACTAGACAAAGCGACACAGCGCTGTTTTCTACATTCCCAGTTTATTGTATTGCCATCTAGTTTAACTAAAAAGCCACTAAATGATTTTCTGTCAATAGGGTCATTCGCCCAGTCAGCATCTGCAAAAGCCTCCAAACAAAATTTACTATCTGACCTTCTAAAGACCAGTCCAAAGTCCATTGTTTTCTTCAAATAACGAAGAACCCTCTTGGCAGCAACCCAATGACATTTATTAAAATTATTATTAAATTGACTTAATAAACTACAACTATATGAAATGTCAGGTCTAGTACATACACTTAAATACATTAATGATCCAATTAATTCTCTATAACTATATTCATTCATGTCAAAATTATGAGAATTACAATCAAATTTTTCATTTATTGTCATGGGTGTCATAACATCCTTAGCTTCCAACATATGAAATCTAGTCAATAATCTTTTAATATATTCAGTTTGTTTTAACACCAAAACACCCTTTGTTCTATCTCTTTGTACATTCATGCCTAAACAGTTTTTAATTTCTCCTAAATTCTTAGTACAAAAGTTTTCTGATAACAAACTGATCAAAGATTCCTTCTCTTTGGGATTATTTGAGAAAATATAAAAATCATCAACATATACAGCCAAAATTGTCATATTACTATTATTATTACTTCTCTTAACATAAACACAAGGCTCACATTTTATCTGAAAATAACCATTTTTAATTAACAAACTATTAACTGTCATATTCCAAACTCTACTTGCTTGTTTTAAGCCATAAATACTTTTTCTTAATAAACAAACCTTGTGTTGATCAACAAGAAAACCTGGAGGCTGTTCCATGTATATCTCTTCCTCCAGAGTACCATTTAAAAAAGCTGTTACAATATCTACATGGTTTATGTCCATATCCAATTTGTTAGCAAGATTGAAAAGAATACGCATGGTGGAATGCCGTACAACAGGGGCAAATGTTTTGTCATAATCCACCCCTGGTTCCTGACTGAACCCTCGAGCAACTAAACGTGCCTTAAATTTGTCAAAACATCCTGAAGTGTCTTGTTTGACCTTATAAACCCATTTACATTTAATAATGTTTCTATCAACTGGCCTGTCCACCAATGTCCAAACACAATTTTGCATAAGAGAATTATACTCTGCTTTCATAGCATTTTCCCACTCTACTTTATTAGGACTAGCCAATGCATCATCATAGGATTCAGGCTCATGAAACAGATAAGCCTGAGAAAACAAAGACATTTCAAAATCATCATACCTTTTAGGCAACCTTGTTGATCTCACTGGACGCTGCTGACATTGTGGCTCCACAGTCACAGCATTATTGTCGACATCAGAGTCACTGCAAGATTCGAAATTAACTGGACTCTCAAATTCTAAAGATGTGTTTACATCGGAATCACTACATCTTGCCTCATGTAGACTGTCATTTGATATTGGCTGCATGCATACAGGAGGAGACTCTTTCTCACTGGGGGGCCTAGGTCCAGGAGAAGGCTCCGTCACTGGAATAATTAAAACATCCTCATTACACAATTCATTACTTTGACTAGGAACATTTATTTCAATTTCATTATTAATATTATTATTTGAAAATGTATAACTTTCACAAATATCACTACGATTATCACAGTTGGTTTCAATAAAGTGAACATTTCGAGAACATAAAATCTTTCTTGGATTACTAGGATCTATTAATCTATAACCTTTAGAGTTCTCACAGTACCCCACGAAAATATATTCTTTTGACTTTGCATCTAATTTGCGACGATGACAATCTGGTACTAGAGCAAAAGCTCGGCACCCAAAGACTCTCAAGTGACTCAAGTCAACTTTTTGACCAGTCCATAATTCCTCAGGTGTAGTGTCAGGCACTGCAGCAGTAGGAGACCTATTCTTAATATAAATTGCTGTCATCACAGCCTCTCCCCAATAGCGCTTGCCCAGATTTGCTTCAATAAGCATACACCTGACCTTCTCAATGAGAGTACGATTCAATCGTTCCGCAACTCCATTTTGTTGTGGGCTGTAGGGCATAGTCACCTGATGTATAATGCCTTGACTAGACAAATAGTTGGTAAAATTAGCACTGCAATATTCACCACCACCATCAGACCTTAAACCTTTTATTGACAAACCCAATTGCTTTTCAACTAGATCCTTAAACTTAATAAAACAATCCATAACATCACTTTTATTCTTAATTAGACAACCAAAAGTTTTTCTTGTAAAATCGTCAGTGAATGTCACCAAATATCTAGCACCACCCCAACTAGGCTCTGGCATAGGGCCACAAACATCCGAATGTACCAGTTCAAGAGGTCTCCGAGTACGCTTTGCATTACCTACAGGAAAAGACTTAACTGTTTGCTTCCCCTGAATGCAAGCCTCACAGTCTGTCAAATCACAATTTGCTCGATTAAATGATAGACCACTGGATAAATTTAACAGCTTGCACATACCTGCACTGCTCAGATGACCCAGCCTCTTATGCCACAATATGGCATCAGTGGAACTAGCAGCATGAGCTCCTTGCTGCTCCTCCACACTCCTCTGTACAATGTTGTGGGTGCTTATCTGTTGGACACAATCTAACCTAAAAACGCCTTTCCTCCTAGATGCCCTGGCTACCACTTTATTTTTACTATTGGAAATATGGCACAAATCTTTCTTAAAAGTAACTTGAAAACCCTTGCCAATGAGCTGACCAACTGATAACAAATTGGTGTACAAGCCAGGTACATACATAACATTGTCAATCTTTTTAATGCTACTATTCTTCATATTTACTTTTACTGTACCTATACCCATACAACTTAAATTTTCACCATTAGCAACACATATTTTACTTGAAAAGTTACAATCCAAAGACATAAAAATATTCTTATTATTGCACATGTGGGAAGTACAACCTGAATCAATTATCCAGTCATCCGAGGAACACGCTGAGAATGCCGACACAAGCAAAGCCTCTTCAGACTTGTCAGACTTCTTATCGCGTTTCAATTTAAAACATTTAGCTTTAACATGTCCAGGCTTCTTGCAATAGTGACAAATGATCTTTTTCTTGCTATATAAAGCCATATCATTAGATGAAGTAGAATTGGCACCATTTGGCTTGTGATTTCTTCTATATTCTTCTTGCAGTAGACGGGCACGTACCGTTTCACTGCATAAACCTCTCGACAAGTTTGCCGCTTCCAAACTCGACACCAAAACATCATATTCGCTTGATAGGCCACTCAGCAAAATCTCTGCGACTTCTTGATCATCTATTACCTTGCCAATATCATGCAGTTGCTGCACAATTGTCATAACACCATCTATGTATGCGCTCATGTTCGGGTAGTCATTGTAGTCAGCCCGGTGCAACTGTCGAAGTAATACCACTCGCCTGTATAATCCTTTGTCTTCATATGCATTACTCAGTCGAGTCCATGCCTCTTTAGCGGTTTTTGCCGCCCGCACGTGCTGGATGCATGTCGGCTTCACTGCCAAACAAATCCGTGCCAAAGCTCTTTGTTCTTTAGCACTATCGGCAACATCTGCGGTCCCTTCGATGTACTCCCAAAGATTCTCCAAAATTAGAGCCATACGCAGTTGAAATTTCCACACGTGGTAGTTACGCACGCCATCCAATTTCTCCACGCTGAACGCGGCAGTAGGCCCCTGCTGCCCGCTCGCATCGTTTATCATGTTCATTGCCTTCCTTCCTCAATATAACAAATTCACTGTGCCCTTAACCTGTTCAACAGGGCCTGGATCGAATGCAGCAGCGTGGGATTGTTATATTGATAAGTGATGTGAAATGAAAAATTGTATGATGGCGGCACACGTTTATTCTTGCAGGGCACAAGGTGGAAAAAAAAAAAAAGGGGCGACAGTCACATCTTATAGGTTAGGCAAAGAGTTAGATAGACAAACATAATTTACTTCCTACATAGACAATCCTTTACACTCTTTTTCCATAAAAAGTAAAGCAAAGGATTATACAACCACAGAGTATATAGTGTACCTAAGTTTAACATATAACAATATATCTTAACATGTACTATGTAGGAGTAGACTACGGAAATACATTATGAAGAAATTTAATATAGGTATTTATAAACGTGGATAAAACCTAGGCAAAAAGAAAAAAATGGGCTACTCGCAGTATCTGATCCTATATGAAGTACTTACAATAAAACTGTGATACAGTTCCTTCTTGTTAAATGATGAAAAATAAATTATCTTAATAGGTATTTATGATTATTGAATTTTAATGAAAAACTCAAAATTATACTGTTTTTTTTTTTAACAATATTACTCAATGTTACAAAAAAGGTTTACCTACTTAATGAAATGACAAATAATCCATTTTTCGCTAGTAGGTACATACTCATTGGAAACCCTGTATTTATTAATCAGCTCGCGATAATATTGGTTTTGTAATTATAAACGATAATTTTGCAAAATTCAAAGTAAATAATATAGATTTTTATAGGTAAATCACCCCTTTCATCACCCTACGCCTATAAGTATTGCGATGTTGTAGCTAAGAACCAAGTTCCCATCTACTTCTATAGGGGAATTCATTATAATCGATTTAGCTATTAGGGCACGGAAGCGCAACAAACAAAGTCACTTTCGCATCTATAATATTATATTACTCTTACTAGTGATCCACCCGGGCATCGTACGGGCGGAATTTATTTTATCGGGATAAAATATAGCTTATGTCACTCGGATAAAATGTATTTAAATAAAGAAAAATGTAATAATAAATTACATCGCTACCATATGATGAATTAATATTTGAAACCGGTTCAGTAGTTTGACAGATTATTTGTTACAAACACAAATCTTGCCTCTATATAATATTAGTAAAGATAGTTAGGATAATAGTATTTAATTGGTGAAAAAGATTTAAAAATAAAGTAACTAATAGGTTTCTTTGATTAAATTCGAAAAAGTTACTTAGTATTTGTGCTTAACACTGGTACGTTATTCGGTATTTTTTTTATACAATAAAAATATTTGGAAAATAATTGCCATGAATAGATGAATGATTGGTCTCGCTTCACTGCGAGACCAATCATTCATTTATGTTGCCGTGATTGCACTATTTGCAATATGCGACATAAACGTCATTGATTGGTATTGTATATAGGTGATTAACAACATTTGAAGTTAACTTCTGGCATCTACATATTGGGTTTCTGTGAATTATGTAGGTATATCAAATGATGAGACTAGGATATGACACTGCATTTGTGTATATCACAATCTTAGAGCCGGACGTTGACATGACAATGCAGCCACTGCCAATTTTAAATAGTCGACGAATAAAGTAAATGATTTTTATATTTACTGTTAAACTACTAAAAAGAACATAAACAAAAGATGATTGAATAAGTGCTAGTTTACTATAAAATTTACATACATTAGATATTTATGTAACGACTTGATTTAACTTCACACATTTTTGCGAAAATTGAGGCCCAGCTGTAGCCTTACCCCGCTGGTAAAGTCTCTAATGTCTTAATAAATCAATCTTTTAGACCACCGCAAGGTACATAATAATTCCCGCGATATTAATTCCCTTACTGAAGTTACAAGACTACGGTATATACCGTCTTAAAATACTAACTAAAAAGTGTGAAATAAAAAAGGTAAATTTAAAAAATCAAAAAACCCGACTGCTTAATTATACTTCAAATAAAAACTGATAAGAAAAAAACAAGTCCTGTAGTCTATAATTCTGTTAATAAGGAACAAAGCTACTTTAACAGTCGGGACCCATTAGATATTCAATAATACATAATATTTTTCAATAATGGGTCCCGACTGTTAAAGTAGCTTTGTTCCTTATTAACAGAATTATAGACTACAGGACTTGTTTTTTTCTTATCAGTTTTTATTTGAAGTATAATTAAGCAGTCGGGTTTTTTGATTTTTTAAATTTACCTTTTTTTTTGAAATTGTAGCTGCGAGCGACATCTACCCGCCCCACGTGTCTTATTTATTTATTTTATTTATTTATTATATTTCTTGACATTCTATATCAATAGATGGCGTTAAAAAGCTGCGCTTTTAAAATATGGAAGCCTACATGAGACAAGTGAAATTGGGAGGCAAACAATTCATATATGCAATGCCAAACGAACATCAGTTGAGCCAACATTACCCATCTCGGAGGAAATCTTACCTTTGGCCATCCTACAAAATAAAATGGTTTTTACGTTACTGGATTCGATCTACAACAAGAATAATACACGAAAAACATATTTTTAATAATATTTAATATCAATTTTATTATACGTTACATATCACTGTGATGTGTACCCTTTCATATAAATGCAACAGCATTCATATAAATGCATACAGAAATATTCTAATAAACAATTATACAATGCAAGACATCCAAACTTCAATGTTAGGCATCCAAAGTCCACATCCAACTTAATAATGTGTCGACATAAGCGCAATTACAGCTGATCGTTAGCCCGAATACGAGTGCCAATGGAATTCGGGTAAACGACTAAGTCTAAATAGACGGAGTCGGGTACGTAGTTTCGCATTGGTTACTCGACACCGACTTCCAGCCCGTAATTCAGTGTAAATATTGCTTCGGATGCCCGAATTCGAATAATGTCTTTCGTGCACCCGAATACGAGTTAACGACCAAATGTAATTGATCCATAAAGGGATTGTGCAATGAATTCAAAAACCGAACTCATACGTTGATAATGAAATTTAATATCGTACGAACCATGTAGGCAGAATTTATATTTCCTACAAGTTTAAACAGGTGGAACAATTTAGTTTAAACAGTGAAATAAATTCACGATCTATCACGTAAAGATGTAATTCGTCCGAGTTTTATCTCAATACCTCACACCCGCACTTCACTTGGCTATTCGTTTTTGCTATAATTAGTTATACTTTCTATTGCATTATATAGTTCAAAACAGAAAGTCAAATACATAGTTTGCAAAGGTGGGCTTATATTTAAAAGAGATCTCTTCCAGCCAACCTAGGTGGTGTCGGAGATTCCAAACTTAGCGGGAAACAAAAAGTGCAATAAAAATAAAAATCATTTGTAAACTAAACATCAGTCCGTCCTTATCATGCTCCACAAGAAATGAAAAGGACAGACTGATGTCATGTTTGCAAATAGCAAACACGAATAAATAAGAGAAGTGCCGGCATCATAATTATAGGTTAATTTATACACTACACAAACGATTATCGACTTTAAGTGATAGTTCGTAATTCTTCGACTATACATTTTGCTTTTACATTATAAACATTCAAGGCACTTAATAGGACACTTTATTAATAGAACTAATATTATGTCCTCTAAAATTATATTCATATTATCAAAATTATTAACTATTATTATTAAACGTCAGATACAAGTACAAAATCACTTTGATAGCACACTGGAAATATTGTTAGACTAAGGCGCAGTGCACATCGGGAGAGACGCTAGAAGATACTGAGAAGTTAACAATTTATGTTAATCCCATATCCTATATTATGAGTAAAAAAAAATCTCAGCAAACATGACACAATACACAACTCCGTGGCTCTTCGCCACGCTCGCTTATGTATTGATCCATGAATGCTATAAATTTTTAAAATTTATGGTAAAGGAACTAGTCTTAAAGAATATTTTACTAGAAAAATACCACGTGGGCCAGCCAGCAGACGGGACTCAAACCCGCAACCTCCGCTATCCGGGCGAATACACTGACCACTGCTACCACAGCCCGTATTGTCCGTGCCGAATATTCTCTAGTATTAGGTTTTTATTCTCTAGCTAGTCTGCAAAGCAGCGCCATCACTTCGCATTGTAGTTAACCCAGAACGTCAAATGAATACCTTTACAAGAATTAAACATATGAAAGAGTAAATAGCAATTATAGTTATATTTTTATTTTCCCAGTCGAGTCCCGTCGGCTGCCTAGTCCACGTGGATTTTTTCCAAGTAAAATGTTCCTTAGATTTAAACATCTAGCAGTTAAGTGCTTAAAAACTAGGAATTACGGTTTAACTTAATTTGTTAACATCTCAGTAACTTCGCCGCGCCACTTTGGCTTGGTATACAATCCTACCCCAAAAGTTAAATTATTAATATTTTTTTAAGATAACAAAACAATGAAGCTTACAACTTATCCCTTTCCGATGAGAAGTTATTAGGCACAATCGTAAATAATATAGAAGTATAGTAATTTATGTTTTTTATGGGATTGTTACCATGTACCTTGTTTTAAGCGAGTTTCCGATAATATTTCGGCACTGTTGCAAGCGAAATAATCACTGAGTAACTGACTTACGGAGTAATTTTACTCAGTTACTGCGTAATCATGGCGCTTGCAACAGTACCGAAATATTATCGGAAACTCGCTAAAAACAAGGTACACGGTAACAATCCCGTAAAAAACATAAATTACTATAATGTTGGTGACCATGAAAGTTTAAAACAATATAGAAATAATTAGTAATATCGTATATATATAAATATATATATTACTTAACATTATTGGCTTATAGTCAATGAATAGAAAAAACGACGGCTCATTTTTGTAGTAATGAGAAAGTTAACTTAAAAAACAAGTCAAGATAATAATATCATAAGATTAGTGGATTACTTAAATGACATTATTCAAATTATTCAGGAAATAGCGATTTTTTTAAATATTGATTAATTAATCGCAGTTATTGGAAGTACAAGGACGTTATGACACCTTTTAAATGATGAATTCCGTTTGTCTTGGAGTGTCCGAAATTAATTCATATAATGCGGTCAATTTATGGTAGTGCGCAGTGACGCCCTGTTATGTCTTACAATAGAGATAAAATTGGTCGAATTCACGCGTCATCGCGCATACGAGTTTTACAATTACGAAAACTATGATAGTATTCGTGAGTCCAACTCGTACTAAGGGTACTGATTTTATTGTTTTCGTTTCAATACAAATAAACAATGTTTAAATTCTAACATTAAATCATTTGCGTCTCACTTTTCACCAAAATGGACATAGGAACATAATTTACAGTTACGAAAACTATGATAGTTTTCGTGAGCTCAAACTCGTACTATGGGTACAGCTTGTACGAATTATACTGCATGCCCACACAGTATTATAGTGTGTAGTAGGAATTGCCTTTTATAAAATATACGTGAAGTTTTTAATCAGTGCCTGGTACAAGGCATAAACGGCCGACTGGCAGATTTACTTTTTGCCAGTTCTAATAATAATCAAACTCCAGTCAAACATAGGCCTACTATGCTAAGAACTCACGGCCGCAGTGCTGTATTATTTGAAAACTCACGAGACAGAGAAATTTGCTTTTGCGTTTTGCTTTTAATTTCACATTCTACGCGAGTTGCGGTCTCGGGGCGCGGAGCCTTAGAGCTTTGTTACTGAGGGATATTTTAATTACTTAGATTGTAATTAGAACTGTTGCTAAGCAGATTATTTACTGTAAGTTTATTACCGAAACAGGCTGTTAATGTTTGAAAAGTATCATCATTAAATTAAACCAAACTTAAAAAAATATAGACGGATAAGTGTGACCGTAAAAAGTTTTATATTGTAGTCCTCAAGTGTTAAGTATAGAAATACGATGAAAATTGAGCTTTATACATTGCAATACCAGGATTTAACGTATAAAAAGTGTATACGTATTTTTATTTAATTTGTTTTATATACGAAAAAGTAACTGATGACTTTTCAGTCACTATCTGTTTTTAAACCGAAATGCAATACTTAACCTAGCTAAATTTCGTACTACTAATGTAAAGTAAGTCCACAACAATAAACCACATTTAACAGAGATCAAAGAACGAAATCAATAGATACATTAGAGTAGGCCCGGTGATTTTGTAGCTATTGACTGGCTACTCGTCACTGGCTAGTTTTGAAGTGAAATTTCTTAACGCACGCTTGACTAGGACGGTAAGCTGGTGAATGTTTTACGCGTTACGAAAAGTGTGATCGGGCGAGGCGAACGGGATGAGTGGGTGATATAAGCAAGAAAGAGCAGTGCGCGCGCAAATTTTCTTTCTCTCTTTCTCTTCTAGTAAATGAAATATGTATATGTACATACATGTATATATTGTACACACACACACATATATATACATACAGATGGAGTGAAGCTGAAGTTTCACTTCAGTCGTGTGGTCATTAGCACAATCGTTTTCTTTTTTGCATAATTTTAGAGTTCTTCTATACTTCCATTTTATTAATTTACAAATTGTTACCAAGAGCATTATGCTATACAGTTGCAACCATAGTAAAGGAACAATATTTGGAAACAATCAAATGGACTAGATTCTGGCTGATTTGAATATAAATTAATGCCTGCAAAGAAATGATACTTTGTACAGGAAGTTGCTTTCAGTAAAACGTTTCACGGTTTGCGGTCAATCCGTTTCATTCAATGTCTTTATGGAATATAATCTACTTTTTAGAATTTATATTTTTAATAGAATAAATTTAATTAAGAGGAGCTCGATGGCGCAGGTGGTTTGCACGTTGGGCTACGATCGTTGAAGTTAAGCAACTTTCACAGTGGTCGGTCATTGGATAGGTGACCAAAAATTCACTATCTCCGTGCTTCGGAAGGCACGTTTAAGACGTTGGTCCCGGCTGCAGCTGCAGTCGTTAGCCCACCAATCCGCACTGGGCCCGCGTGGTGGGTCATGATGGCCCAATCTCCCTATTCCATCCATAGGAAAAGGCTGTGCCCCAGCAGGGACATTAATAGGCTGATGATGATGATAAGAATCTTATTATCAGAAATATAAAGTCAAGAGATACATAGGAGTCAAGACTCATTGTGAATAATGTCATTTAGGTAGTTTTCAACAAAAAACTAAAGGTTACAGTCGAAAAAGTAAAATGTTATAAAATTAAATATGAATTACGAATTATATTAAATGATCATCAAGTTTTGGTGATAACTTAGTATTTTTTTTTTGAGGATCATTTAAATATTTTCCACTAATTTTTCATAAGCCACGCACCGTCATTTTCAATAGAAATGAAAAATGGTTACTATATACATACATCAACATCAAATATTTGGCACCATAATTTTCTATATCCCTTTGGAAACACGCTTCATAATTATCATTATTATACATTTAATGACCATAATTAAAAAAAATATATTATGGCAATAAAATTAAAGCTCAGTTTCACGTATTTTGAACAAACGTCTCTCCGTATCAAAATTATCTTGTTCGACTAAAGTTTTTTTCGATTCAATTTCTTCATTTTCCTTAGATAAAGACGTACTCGCACACCGTTTCCTGTTCGGACTAACTTCAACACTTACAATATTGTTTAAGTTCTTTAAAGGCGATCGCGTTTCTTTATCCACAACTAAATTGCCTATGGATAAAGTGAGATCAGAAGGTACATTACCGTCTAAACAATAGAGTAGAGAATCCGTAATTTTTCCGTCGCTGTCAGTCGATTTGTTTAATATCGATAAGTCGACAGGTGTCGCTGTAAGCACCGATCTACTAAGCAAATATTCCCTGAATGGTTCCGTTAGAGATTTCGTTTTTTGATCAGTAAAGTTAGTCAAGTCATGTGTGATTTTGATCTTTGGCATCATTAAATTGTCATTATGAGTCGCGTTTAAGTCTTGATCTAGAATAGGACGATCGTGACTGTTAACGAAACGCGTATTTTCTGATCTTAGAGGGCTGATGTCGCCTAAAGAGAGAGATCGCCTCTGCTTCGGTAACGAAGAGTAGTGGGATCTGAAACAAAAAATATTTTTGATTCAATGATATTTATATTCATTACTAGCGAATGCCCGCAACTTGATCCGCGTTAGCTTTATTTTTTTGACAATTTCAGAGGAACCTAACAATGTTCAGGGATAGAAAGTATCTTGTCTCAATCCAGGGGGCCATTCGCCTAACGGAAATGCTTAAGAAAACGCTAACGCTTTCGATTTGATTTTGTTATTTCTAGCCGCCTGAGGTTTGCAAATGCCTCGCGCTCTTTTTTTCTTTTGCATTGGTAATAACAATATTAAAAAAATGAGCGTGAAGTATTTGAAAACCTTCAGCGGTCAGAAATAACAAAATGAAATTTAAACCGTTAGCATTTTCCAAAGCATTTCCGTTAGGCGTATGGCCCCCTGGTTATAAAATATATGCGTACCAAGTTTCCACCTATAATATTATTATAATCCATTCATTGGTTTTTGCGTGATTTATAATAACAAAAATACAAACTTTCACATTTACAATATTAGTAAGGAAGTAGGATTAGCATACAAAAACCGGCCAAGTGCGAGTCGGATTCGCGCACCGAGGGTTCCGTACAAACCTGAATTTTCAAAATTTTTTTTATTATATGATGTAACTAAAAATTCACGGTTTTCGCAATTTTCCTGTTATCTGTACTATAAGACGCTACTTCGTACCAATTTTCAAGATTCTAAGTTCACGGGAAGTACCTTGTAGGTTTTGATTCCCATGCGAGTATCGAAAATTTGCGGCATAAACGGTACAGCCGTTCTTTTGATTGCTTTGGCTTTTTGATTTTTTCGCAGCTCCAAGGGACAGTAGACCTGAGTATTAGATATGAATTTCAGTTTGATACCTCCACGCGTTCCTGAGAAAAACGGTCTTGACAAACCGACGGACGGACGGACAACAAAGTGATCTTATAAGGGTTCCGTTTTTGCCTTTCCAATACGGAACCCTAAAAAAACAAATTAACAAATACAAAATTTAATATACTCACCTTTCACAAGAGTACGACGATCTAGACGCGGCGTCGTCGTCCGACGACACGAAGTCGCTGTCGTTGTTCGGCGACATCGACTGGTACAAGTCGTCCGATTTGGTCGCTTCCACGGATTTGTTCTTGTTGGTCTGGGGCAAACTGTCGCGTTGTTCGGACGTAACGATAAGGGGTTTACGCGAACGCGGCGTCATTATGGATTCCTGAAAGGTTTATGTTAATAAATATAATAAATAAATATTTCCGACACTCGCACCAATTAGCCTAGCCCCAAAATAAACACTGTAAGGCTTGTGTTATAGGATACTAAGATAACGGATAGAATACATATATAAGTATATTTATATAGAAATACATATTAAACATCCATGACTGAGTACAAATGCTCGTATTCATAACACAAACAGCTGCCCCCACCGGGATTCTAACCCGGGACCCCTCGATTCGGCGTCACCATGAAACCCGGCGTATAAACCACTCGGCCACGGAGGTCCACAAATAAAAAAAAAATATTTATTTTGATATTCAATCACTCTACGAAAATATATTTATGGCTCAATTACACTTAGTTGTAGGGTACACGCAAGATTACTCGAATTCGGGCACCCGAAGATATATTTACACCGGAATACGAGCTGTAAGACGATGTTGGGTAACCAAAACGAAAACTTCCCGAATACTCAACTCCGTTCATTTACACTTAAGTTGTTTACTTGAACTCCATTGGCACTCGTTCTCGGGCTAACGGCCAAGTGTAATGGCGGCATTAATAAAAAAACTTCAAAAGGTAAAATGTTAAGCTAACAACAGACTTTTATACCTTGACAATAATAATAAATTCTGTATAACACAATAAATATTCCTAAACTAACCAGGGGGCCAGTCGCCTAACGGGATTGCTATGGCTATCGCTATTATTTCTATATCGGAAAAAACGACACTTTACGTACTATCAGTATTTTTTTCGCATTCTTTCAGGGAGCTCTGCGGCATCTTGATTTTTCAACGCTCCGCGTGTGACTGTGAACCAAGAAGTGCTTGTTTGGTGTTCAAGCACTTCTTGATTGGGACACATTTTGAGCGCACGTAGTGTATCTAGGGTATTTAATATAGTTGGTTGGATACTGTGGTCTAACGTTTAAAGAGGTGGGGTTAATAATTTGAACGACAAATAAAATCGAAATTAGTGAGCATTGAAAACCGATACAGTTTGTTTTTTACTCTCAATTTGTGCAAAAATCTAGCTAAAGTATATACCTATCTAAAATTATTTTCATATGGCAACATTATGAAACGACATTGTATTTTCAATGTGCGATATTATTGCAAATAGTTTTAAACCTAATTATAAAGAAATCATTCTATGGCATGTTAAAAAAGGAGACAAGAGAAAAAAAACATGTAAAAGCATGAACACAATTAAAGCGAAATGCATGACAAGACAAACCTGCATAGCCTTAGACAACTTCTGTGTAGATTTCGTTATAGGCGACATCGAAGATCGTCTGAAGTTAGCACCGAATGGCGTTGCACATTCTTCGTCGAATTCTACTATATTTGGCACACCAGGCGTACTCGTCAAATAGTGCATTTTCAACTCTACCCCATCGTTATAGGGTCGTATTTTCTTTGGCGTGTCCTTTATAGGACTTTTGTCATCGCACTCATCGCTTTCCGACGCGGAGTTGCCATCGTCCAAGCAAGAAACACATGTAGGCGTTCCTTTTATAACGCCATTCCTCTTCTGATACTTCTTGTTCACATTTTGTGATGATGATAACTTCGTACGGAATAAACGGGAGCGTTTCTTCGTATTCTTCGGCGTTTCTTCGGCGTCTAGAACACTCAAATTCGGTTCGGACACGAATTTCGGACTCAGTTTTCTCGATGTACTTAAAGCGCCTTCGGATAAAGTAGTGTCGTCGCTTCCGTCCGTGTCGTAATCTAAATCGTCGTCCAAAGATTCCGTGCTAGCTATTTTGTTTGCCAAGTTCTTTAGCACTATGTTCTTGTGCGAAACGTCTACTTTGCTTTCGTCATTGAAACGCAACTTGGTTTTACTGGTCTTCTGTAATTAGCGCATGCGATTAGCACGTGGAGAAAGTTAGGAAAGATAAGTTACAGAGAGTTACAGAAAATGGGTAAGACAGACGTCACGATGCATGGTTAGGTTTTGGGGATGAATATGGGTGAGATATGTGTCTAGTGTCTTTAGGTTTTGGTGGATTTTAATAATGAACTGTTTCGAGAAGATGAAATTTACATATAGGACTTTTTTCCTATTGGGTTTAAGAAAAATATATGAGTATACTATTGTGATGTGCCTAATAACTACTTAAATGACATTTTCATGCCTTTATTGCGACAGTAAATATGACTTTATCCTTTTCTGTCAATAAATATCATGACACGGTGACTTTAGAAACCGCCAATAGGTGCTGTATAAAGAAAACAAGAAAGAAATTTGAGCTTTTGCTGAGCGATTTTCACCTTGACAATGACACAAACTTTCAAATAGTAGAAATAAATCCTATTTCAAACAAAAATGAACATTGACACATGACACTACCACACCCCGAATGCGTACAAAAAGAGACTTTCACATAACGCACATAAAACAGCTTTTCGTTTAACACTTACCTCCTCCACTGTGCTGATAGTTGTTGAACCTTTCTTCGGTGTTTTGTTCAACAATCCCTTATTGAATATGTGCCTTTTTATAGAATCGCCGAAACTACGCGAACCGGCCACCTTGCCCGTGCGTTGTATTTGAATGGGTGTGCCTGGAATACCGATATTTACTAGTTATAATAATAATAATTTTATTTAAAGATTTTTTATACAATATGGTTTTACAAATAACAGGCACAGGATATTTAAAAACTAAGGATCTGTAAGTACTTAAAATAGGAAAACCCTGTGACTTAAATACCCAGTTAATACGGTATTTGACAAGTTTTAGAAAACAATCTCACGTTATTGACTAATGTTTATGGAGTCCGTAAAAAATGGCTATTCATCATTCTGTTGTGTATTTCAGTAAAAATAACCAAATCAAAAACTCCATTTTCAAGTTACCGCGTAAACGTTTTTCTGGATAATAATATGGCGTCTTATTAGTGTGTGACGTCACACGACTTTTATTAAAAAGTCGATACAATGTAATGTCACTTTAACCAGAAGTTTACTTGCGTGTGACGTCATTTTAGGCTCCACCAATCCCAAGCGTTTTGGGTCACGTGACAATAGATAAGAAAACTACTATCTTTTTCATGGGCTTTTTGTAAAATTATGAATATATTTTTTTGTAAAAATTGTAAAAACCCCTGCCAATATTCATTCTAAACACTGATGCTAACAATTGGCACTTTATTTTTAACACTGTCAAATACCCTATTAAAATGGGTGAAAATGAACCGTAAGTATCTAAACTTAATAATCATAAACTAGTTTTATACAAAACTAGTACAATACTTGTGGTTGTTTAAAACATTTTTTCGTTTACATTGCATAAACAACTACATAGTGGTGTCGATTCTGGCGTGATTATCTAAACTTAAAACTACATTTAACATCAGTCTCTCCTTTTCATTCATATAGAGAATGACAAGGATATACTGCTGTCAAATTTAAGTGTAGGTTTAGAGAATCATGCTAGAATCGACACCAGTATCATGATATGTATTAATCACTAATTTACTTCACATATTTCATTTATCCAACAAGTTTGATGCAAGCATGATGTAGTATACAATATACTACATGTTTTATACATGTATATAATGTGAACTAAAATTTAAGACATTGTACCTATAAAACTGGTTAAATACATGTATTATACCTTGGTGTAAACGAGGGGTCAGATAGATGATTCATGGTACTTCAAAATAACATAAAAAAATCTTCTAACAATAAATAAATTCAGTACATCTAACCCATAAAAACTAGTTTTATTTAATGAGTGATGTGCGTGAAAATCTAAGAAGCAAATATAAAAAAAAATCTTCGTTCACCATATCCGTTCTGCCTGTTGAAGTGTTTGATGAGCCGCCGCTTGTGATGCGAGTCGGGCAACGCCTGTATGTGCGCGTACAGTTGCGCGAGCGCAGTGTCTGTCGGATTGCTTTCGTTTTCGGCACGAGTTCGATGGCGATCGACGAATGAATATACTGTATTGGCGGCAGTTCTGGGAGAAAATAAATCATTCTTGATTATCCTCCTACTAATTACGATAATTAATGAGAAATTGAGTTGGTTTGGTTGCTGGTTTGTTACGCTTTCAAGGCTAAGCCACTGAATCCAGTAAGCTGAATTTCTGTATAAAGATAGATGGGACCCTGAAGGCTACTTTTATACCGAAGCAGACGCAGACGAAGTCGCGGGCATCCGCTAGTTACAAAATAACCGATTCTGATGCGAGTCGGGCAACACGCCTGTATATGGGCGTATAGTTTCGCGAGCGCAGTGTCCGTCGGATTTGACTCGTTCTCGGCAATGAAAATATTGTATTCGCGGCAGTTCTAGGAGGAAACAATACTTGGTTATCCTCCTTCTAATATCACAACTATTCCGGTTTCACGCTTAAACCCTTGAATGAAATAAGCTGAATTTCGGTATGAGATAGATGAGACCCTGGAGACGGTTGCAGGTTACCCTTTTATGTTTATATTTACAGAGATCTAGCTCTCAGATATATTCTCATCCGAATCCACTCAGCATGCACGTATGCAAGACTCGCCTATGATATACTCCAAACCCACATCTGGCGATAAAAAGGGAGCTAAAAATATCTCCAGCAAATAAATATTTGACGAAATCTGGGATTTATTTAAAATAGAATTCCTCCAAAGAGTACAAGTAAAAAAAATGGTTGCCTGTAAAGTCGGTTTTACGGGCGAAGATTTTACGTGACAACGTCTTTTTCTCGGTAGAATATTTATTGATATGAATATAATTAAATTGCACAATAGGAACAAGGAATTGAATGAAAATAAGAATTGCACAAATTTTAACTATAGAAATATATTTTGTTTACTAAAACATTGTACATGTAAACTTAAACTTAACACGAGAGACTCATCGTAACGTTACCGAGCGTTACACTTTTTCATAAGTGACTCCCAGCCGCAACCTAATTTAAGACGTTGTCACGTCAAAAAATGCACGCTGAAGCATTTTTGGAAATTCTGCCAATTATGAGAGTGCGAAGTGTGCGTGCGGTTTCACTTTTAGACAGCCTTTGACTTCAAAACAAGAACTACAGCATAGAATACTATGACGTTTAAGCGAACACTCGCAAAGACAACATATTAACGATATTACGAATAATTAAAAGATTTCCAAACGAAGTATTACTCAACCAAAAAGTATTAGTGGCATGTTGGCAGGTTGCATTTGAAATTAGATCGCCTTTTGATTCGGTATCGTAAAGGTATCCAATTTGACGTTTGTATAGCGGTACGCACGCTGTTCATTATATAGTTCATAGCAAAATATATTTGTCCCTTTTTTGATCTATATTTTTATATAAGACAACTTTATGAGTCGACTTCATAAGTTGAATATAAACTCCTTCTATTCTCTAGTTCTTGTTCTGATCCTTTAACGTATACACTCACCTGTCAGACATACTCTCGTCCAGCCGTAGTGCGGGCGACAGGACGCGCCGGGTGAAGTACGCGGCGGCGTCGGTGGCGAGCCGCGCCGGCGCCTCGAACAAGCGGCACGAGTGGCGGATCATGAAGCTGATCACGGGCGCGAGGGCTACGGAGTCCGCGTGGAAGTGTTCCGGAGACAGCTACATGGAAACGCGATTTATTAACCGACTTCAAAGACGAGATTATCAATTCGTCGTTAAGTAAAGAAAGTACGCGGCGACGACGGTGGTAAGCCGCGCCGGCGCCTCGAACAAACGGCACGAGTGGCGGATCATGAAGCTGATCACAGGCGCGAGGGCTACGGAGTCCGCATGGAAGTGTTCCGGAGACAGCTACGTGGAAACACGATTTATTAACCGACTTCAAATACGAGATTATCAATTCGTCGTTATGTAAAGAAAGTACGCGGCGTCGACGGTGGTAAGCCGCGCCGGCGCCTCGAACAAACGGCACGAGTGGCGGATCATGAAGCTGATCACAGGCGCGAGGGCTACGGAGTCCGCATGGAAGTGTTCCGGAGACAGCTACGTGGAAACACGATTTATTAACCGACTTCAAAGACGAGATTATCAATTCGTCGTTATGTAAAGAAAGTACGCGGCGACGACGGTGGTAAGCCGCGCCGGCGCCTCGGACAAGCGGCACGAGTGGCGGATCATGAAGCTGATCACGGGCGCGAGGGCTACGGAGTCCGCGTGGAAGTGTTCCGGAGACAGCTACGTGGAAACACGATTTATTAACCGACTTCAAAGACGAGATTATCAATTCGTCGTTATGTAAAGAAAGTACGCGGCGACGACGGTGGTAAGCCGCGCCGGCGCCTCGGACAAGCGGCACGAGTGGCGGATCATGAAGCTGATCACGGGCGCGAGGGCTACGGAGTCCGCGTGGAAGTGTTCCGGAGACAGCTACATGGAAACGCGATTTATTAACTGACTTCAAAGACGAGATTATCAAATTCGTCGTTATGAAAAAGAAAGTACGCAGCGGCGTCAGTGGTAAGCCGTGCCGGCGCCTCCAACAAGCGGCACGAGTGGCGGATCATGAAGCTGATCACGGGCGCGAGGGCTACGGAGTCCGCGTGGAAGTGTTCCGGAGACAGCTACATGGAAACGCGATTTATTAACCGACTTCAAAGACGAGATTATCAAATTCGTCGTTATGAAAAAGAAAGTACGCGGCGGCGTCAGTGGTAAGCCGTGCCGGCGCCTCGAACAAGCGGCACGAGTGGCGGATCATGAAGCTGATCACGGGCGCGAGGGCTACGGAGTCCGCGTGGAAGTGTTCCGGAGACAGCTACATGGAAACGCGATTTATTAACCAACTTCAAAGACGAGATTATCGAATTCGTCGTTATGAAAAAGAAAGTACGCGGCGGCGTCAGCGGTAAGCCCCGCTGGCGCCTCAAACAAGCAACATGAGTGGCGGATCATGAAGCTGATCACGGGCGCGAGGGCTACGGAGTCCGCATGGAAGTGTTCCGGAGACAGCTACGTGGAAACACGATTTATTAACCGACTTCAAAGACGCGATTATCAATTCGTCGTTATGTAAAGAAAGTACGCGGCGACGACGGTGGTAAGCCGCGCCGGCGCCTCGGACAAGCGGCACGAGTGGCGGATCATGAAGCTGATCACGGGCGCGAGGGCTACGGAGTCCGCGTGGAAGTGTTCCGGAGACAGCTACATGGAAACGCGATTTATTAACCAACTTCAAAGACGAGATTATCGAATTCGTCGTTATGAAAAAGAAAGTACGCGGCGGCGTCAGCGGTAAGCCCCGCTGGCGCCTCAAACAAGCAACATGAGTGGCGGATCATGAAATCACATTAGATCTTTAAGGTTGCAGAGACGACAGTTCCATTATGACTGCCTGGCCCCAAAAATATGAAATAATAATAACTACCAGCACCATAGCATTCGATTTCCTCCAAAGAGTACAAGTAAAAAAATGCATGCTGAAGCATTTTTGGAAATTCTGCCAATTATGAGAGTGCAAAGTGTGCGTGCGGTTTCACTTTTAGACAGATATACTGAACTATACATTCCTGAGCTAACTGTAAAATAAATTTGGAGGAAAGAAATAAAAAGAATTATGTTCATGCAATAGGCTTGTGTCAACTAACAATAAATCGAATGGGTTACAGTTTCTAAATATGAATTATGATATACAGATAACAAAAAATAAAGCTATTTATCATAATAATTAAAGATTATTATTATTTTTAGAAAATAAATTCGAATAAAATAGGCATTAGATCACGTGACGGCAAACACCAATCAGAAAAACTGACGTCACCACGTGCAAAACATTACTTGTGGTTGCCGTTTCCATACATTCCATTGATATCTCATTCATGTTATTGTTACTTTGATACAATTATCAGTTTGTTTTCAGATAAGTATTGAAAGGAAGCTAATAAATCCATGGAATTGGGATTTACCGAAGCAAATAATAATATTTTAACCAAAATTAAAAATTAATCGCATAACTACTCGACATAATTAAGCATATCATTTGGCAAGAACAAGAATAAGAAGTGTTTATTATTATGAATAAATATACTGAACTCTCAAATAGACTCTAAATCATACCATAAAATTAAATCAGCTTACCTAACCTCAACCTATTGTCATTGTTTTATCAATATAATGCAATATAATTTATCCGGCTTGTATAACATTTTGATTTCATTGATTATGATGCAAAATACTTACATCAAAATGTTCATCACAAAATTATTCTTGTATTTGTTGATAAACAATGAATAGGTACCATCCCTCCTTGCAAGTTTTAACCATTTTTTCCGCATTTGTGGCATATAAATAATTTGTCTGGCGTTTTATGCTTCTCCTTTTATACTAGGACACTATACAGTACTTGTAATACGATGGATTCATTTTTAACTAAATAATTTTAATAGTCAGCGTACAGCGTATTGTTTGCTTTGCACGGCGTGACGTCATTCTAGACGCCATGACAGTCTAGAGCGTTTTCGAGGGAAATTTGAATAAGTTTTTTAAAATACAAAATACATATTTCTAATGTACTTTTTTATTTAAAATAATATTTTTTTGGGGTTAAATAAACATCAAGGTATATTATTAACCACTTTTTAAAATATAGGCAACTAGCCTATTGTTCATCTTCTTCACACTTAACTTCACAACCATCATAAAGGTTATTTCTGTTTTTTAAAGAGTTTGATAATAGTTCTAGCAAACATGCATACTTTACACAAAATATTATAACTTTACCTTTCTGGGGCACAGTAAGTGCGGTGTAAACATAGTAGCCAGAGTGTCTGGTGACATGCGGTTTGATGCTTCATTGTCTGCGACTAGCCTGAGTAACTTGAGCAGTCTCTCAAGAAAGCTTCTGTGCGAAGGTGTGAGCAGTAGCAACAATAACTGCAGTGCAATTAATAACTTCTCCTCTGAAGACTCAGCATTGGGTGGATATTGAGCTGATGACATGATAAGCAATAAAATAAATAATTACTTTCATAAAATAATGCTGACAAAAAAGAAAGTAAATTTTTACAACTTTTCATTGATATATACATACATTAAAACTGGTAGTAGGTATGGAGCACATTTATTCTTCTAGCTCTCTATCTTTAATAAATTCTTCTAACTCTTTTGTTAAGTAAAAATAAATATTTTTGGTAACTATAACTTTATCTGTATGATGAAAATACCATTATTTGTTTTTCATAATTTTTTTTTAATAAAAGGTTGTAAACCTACACATCTTAAAAAGTGCAACTGATTTTGTCAATGAAATTAAATATCAACTCTATATCAGTTCTGTACAAAAAACAGATAGCTCTTGCAGATTACATTGATGCTTTTTGGAGTTGAAGTATAAATATTTTTTGTTACTCACTAGCTAATGTACAATACGTCTGATAATACTGATCCATGAGAAGTGGCTGAGGTAACTCTGCTAGGAATCCTTTTAGCACTGAAGCGCAGTCATGTACAGAGAACTTGCTTTCATCCAGGCCCAAATTGGAACCGGTGTGCAGAAGCTGACGCAGTTCTTGTTGCCTGCTCAGTGATCCGGTACGACGAAATATACCCTCTTGAGTGACATCTGAAAAATATCATAGGTATTTGCTTTAATTGTATCAATTTTAACTATGCAAGAGACTAGATTATACTTCTGATATGTAACTATACATATATCAAGTAAGTAAATATATATCTTCACAGTTTATACTGACAGAAACAATATTGGTATTTATTAAGTACAAAACTAGATCTAGATAATCTTGAAATTAATCCTTGTCATCAAACATCAGCTTATTGCTTTTAATAATTTTAATTAGTATTATTTATTTATTTCTTTTGAATTTTATGTTTCTGTAACTATGTTAGACCACAACAAATTGTTTTTTAACTTCCAATTATCCAGATTTTTAATCATAAAAAAATAATATGACAGTAATTTACACAAAATCATACTTACTTTCAGGTTTAGAAAGAAAATCAATTAATTCATTGAGTCTCAGAATACCGTCTTCTGTTATAGAATTCGCTTCAGCTGAACTTTTTAAGCTATTAATGTTGTTTTGACTAGAAGCAGAGCTACAATTTTTTAATTTTTTGTGAAAATTCCAGCGAAATTGCTTCGGCTTGTCTGATGAACAATCGACACTAAAAACGTACACAAATATAGCGGTATAAAACAAAGTTACTATTACATTTAATAGTCTAGAATACTTACTCATCTGTGTTTATATCAACCACGAATGATAAATGCATGCGAACCAAGATGAAAAACTGGTCTAGATTTTCTTTCCGCAGTTTTTCTATTAAATCAATCTCTGAAGAGGTCATTTTATTTTATAATAGGCATAGAACATACAAAACGCTCCGCTCCCAACTGCTTCAATTCATAAAAACAATCAAAAATTTAAATCGAAGACAATACATTAAGTGTCGATGGTTACAGCAATAATGGAGGGAGCATCGTAATTATACCACAATATTTCAGGGGTACAGTAACATTTTGCAGTTATGTACTTTTTAATAAAAACATCATCAAAACTCTTCTCAAATCAATTTTCTAAAAATTCAACTGATTTCTTTCCAAATTTCATTCAACTCAACTGTCACTTCACTTTTTTGTGATTTTTTTAAGATTCTCTTTTTTCAAAGAAGGTCAAGAGAACAATGCCTATACAGCCTAGCCTTAAGTTTTATTAATTTTCTTCATTTTTTTACTTAAGAATGTCAGCGTGATGCATTCTTATGTTTCTTGGAGTGTTTGGCACGAAATGTATCGAGTTAGCTTTCTCGATACGACAATAAAGTTCTCACGTCCACTTGACCGGAATAGCGTTTTTAAAGATTCCATTACTTTTTTTTTCCTTTATAGCCTGCATGGTTTGTGCGTCAGCCACTTGTAAGAGGTTGAGGTAGGGAAACAGGATAAAAAAGGAACGGAAATTTAAAAGGACAGGATGAGGTAAGTATTTACAGTTTAATATTGTGTTTCTGGATAAAATTAGAATTGGAAATTGGAATACGAAGTGATGTTAAGGAGTCATAGACCAGCCCCCCTAACATGAGCACCGCGATATGATATATTACTCGTTTTTATCCAATGCCTAAAGAAGTAAGTTTTTATCACGCTCAAGTGTCAAATTACTATGGAGTTTGACAGTTAGACGCGATAAAAAACTTGATATAACGTAAATGAATAGGCTAGTTGACCCTTTTTGGAAAAAGGTTTTAAATGGTTAATAAATGTTCTATTAGACCGAAAAAAAATGTATTGTATTTTTTTGAGACCTAAAAAGCTACAAATCTTTGATTTTAAAATAGATTTTTTATGGACATACAAAAACGCTATCGGCCATTTTAGTCTAAAGATTATCTATGCTATGACGTTAACTGCAGTAAACACATAGAGAAAGGTAAATAAACAAAGACTCGTAAGAAAATAACTGACTTTATAATAAACAAAAGATGATTTCTAATAAATACCCCGAAAAATAAAGTAATTATCATTATTGTATTGTACGAGAATATAAAAACACATTGAAGATTCCAGGAAAGTTGTGAATTAAAAGTGCCGAAAGAAATTAACCTACGCAACTTTATTACACTTATTCATATGTTGTATCAGTTTTATGTTTATTACTACATTGTAATACTAAATACACTGTACTTACATAGATGCCTTGTCGTTTCTCTGCTCCGCAGAGCAGAAATCGGGATTTAGTGAAATAAATTCACCAACCATGAATGCGTCAATTCTTGGCAGATTTGTGCCTTCTGTTTTCACAAAGCCGGCATCCATAATTAGTTTTTTCAAAAAAAAACAGTAAACGGAAACTTGTCTAAAGTTAAAAGTGTTTTATGATAAATTAAGTCAGACGAAAGAATCCACCCACAGTAACACGCGAATGACATTTAGTTGTTTACCATATGAGACGTCACAATCATGGCGGATGTGGCGAATAGCGTTTTTAGTGTTTAAAAAATATAGACCAAAAAATATTTTTTAAAATTAAATTTCTACAGCAATCTTCTGCTTTTATGAAGTGAAATCGATATATTTAGGTTCCTTAGACCAAATACTTTAAGAAATAAACATTTATTTAATACAATTCGACATGAGTCAACTAGCCTATTAATATAATGTAAAAATCTAAGTACATTCATCCGAACGTAATTAAGTATCCTAATAAGTATATATATATACACACATCAAAAGTGTCTAGGGATCAACATATATTTTTGCAATAACTTTTCTCCTGATTGATATTAATTAAAATTTTCTTTAAGGATTCATCAAATAAAGTGTTTTCGTTTGTCACAGTAACGATAAACCAAGTCACCTTTGCATTAATAAAGAAATTTGCCATTTTCCTAATAAAGGGATTTTTGACATTTGAACCACTAACACAAAAGTTCGAAAAAAAGACTGAAATAACAGTTTTCTCTAAAATTTTATTGGGTAACTTAAACAATTAATAATCCGTATTTCTACCGCGAACACTAACAACACAAGAACATCGGTTTGGCATACTCAAAATGAGTTCATCCAAATCACGCTGTGGAATAGCCGCCCATGTTCGTTGCAACAACAAAAAAAGGTCTTCTTGCGACTGGATACCCTCCATATTCGGCAGAGCTCTTCTCTGTAGCATATCCCATGCATGCTCAATCGGATTCAAGTCTGGCGACTGAGCAGGCCAGGGCAGGACATTGATGTTCGCTGCGGCGAGAGTCTGTCTTACAACTCTTGCGGTGTGCGGTCGTGCATTATCATGCATTAACTGAAATAAGGGACCGATTTGCACTTGTAGAGGAACGATGACGTCTGATACAATCGTCTCAGCATAAATTTGAGCGTTGAGGTTGCCTCTGATCCAAATCAACTCAGTTCTTCCGCCGATCCAAATACCCGCCCATACCATGATGGTTCCACCACTATAAGGATGGACTTCCTGGCAGGATTTTAATCGCTGTTGGCGTCCAGGGGTTCTCCAGTGTCGTATACGTCTTGTATCCGGTCTCATACCAAAACGAGACTCATCAGAAAAGCACACGAAACGCCATTGTTCTTCTGCCCAATTTCTGTGTTCAAGAGCCCATTGATATCGAATCCTACGATTGTGCATTGCTATAGGTGGTACCCGTAGCGGTCTTCGGGAATGAAGGTTCACTTCATGCAAGCGGTTTCTGACTGTTTGGTCGCTAATTAAGTTCCCTGAAGAGTGATGAAGCCTCACGGCTAACATCATGGCGGTTATTGTTGGAGCTCTTCGAGTTAAGATTTGAATGTATCGGTCTTGTCTCCGTGTGGTGCAGCGATACCGTCCTCCATGGCGCTCAGCCACGGTACCAGTGCTTCGGTATCGTGTCCAAAGTCGACTGATAACACTCTGACTTGTATTCAGAGCTAAAGCCACAGTACGTTGCCGGGAACCAGCTTCTATCATTCCCACGGCTCTGAGCATTTCTTCCCTGCTTAAATGACGTCGCCGCTCCATAATAACGTTGGTTTTAATCAGTAGTAGGGAAACAGTAGCACTAATAATGTCTTCAATGCGTTGTATGTTTTTATAGGGAAAATATTGACAGCTGATTTTCATCTTTTACTCGAATTTGATTCACAGTTCCTGATTCAAATTATGAAATGCACCAAAAAGGATCCATATAAATTTATAAAATCATAAATTTATTACAAAGCCACATCTCAATCTCAAGAAATCCGCATAAAAATGCTTGATCCCTAGACACTTTTGATGTGTGTATATACAGGGTGAAATTGAATGTTTCTATGAAACTTCGTGAGATTGTTGGGTTACGTGTATAGAGTATGCCTGATTTTTTTCGGATTTTTTAAAATAAAATTTTCCGTTTTTTAATTTTTTATTTGGTTATTTTTTTGTCATTTCTTCACACGTCTACATAGAAGTTATAAAGCAACTTAAAATAAGCACAACTAAAAAAACGGAAACTTAATGAATGCCTTCATTATGCCTCCAGTCGAGATCAGCGCCGGTCGGGGTGACGACCGGCGGCCGCCTGTGTAGGTACCTACTACACGCACAGATGACTCGGCGCTTACCTACTCTCCGCTTTGATCCACACTATTTAAAAACATTACAATAAAATAGTCTTAGATGCTATATTATAATTATTTATTCACTGATACACAATACCTTTGAATATTATTTCATAAAGCACAGGTAATTAATCAATAAAATAAATCTTCCGTTAGAGCAATCAAAAATCCTATAAAGTTAATATGACTGTCACGATTTTAAATCGGTAAAGCCTGTCTGTTAGTGTAAGAACTTCTTTTTTATTGTTAATGTTAGTTGCCTCGTTTAATTAAAACTTAAGCACAAACGGCTTATTTAAAATTGGGAAAAAATCATACAGAGCAAATCGGTATAACTTACGAGCTTAGTGAAGGAAGGAACTCTTCGTGTCTGATTTGCCCACGTCATGAAATTCCCAACACATTTAATCACAGTCACACACACACATAATTATATGTTGTTTTGCGGCAAGCACGGGCGGGCGGCGCACCGCACGCTGGCAACTAGCGCCAGTTGCGGCGTCTTTGATGATGTGAATTCCGCCCACCTCCCCTCTTCCCCGCACGCGGTAGTTTGCTTTGATTGCATGCAAAACGCAGTCGCAAGTATATCAATCGCGCGTGGGCGTGCGCATCTTTTGACTTAGTGACATACACTGATAATTTCATTATGCCTCGGTATACGAACCAAGAATATTTAGAGATGGTGTACTACTATCGCGAGTGTGACGAAGTAGGTTTGGTTTACGAATGAGTCCCCAAACCATAGAAGTTGCATTTTGTGCAGTGAGTAGTGATGGGGACACTTTAAAAAAGGTGAAAAGACACGTCCGCAAACATGCCTACCTTTGTTTGCAGCAAAATGGTGGTTTAGAGCAACAATTTTGCAGATAATAATTTAAGTCTCTTTTTATTGCTAGTGTAAATACTTTTTGATCAGAAACAACTAATTGTGTACTACCAGTGTGATTGATTTGATAAAAAGTTCTAGTGAAAAAAATTAATATGTTCCTCGTTGTACCTACCTACATAGCCGGTCTCGTAAGTACTTTTGAATACCTGGTTATAAATTTCATTCTGACCCAAGAATTGAACTGCAATAAGTATTTCTTTTTGTTTAACATTTGCCTATTTCCAAACGTGACAAAATTATTATTAACTTTTAAAGTTTTTCTCTGCTTAAGAGAAGATGACATTTGTGCTTATTATTTCAATTTCAATAAAGGCATCTAAGACGATTTTATTGTATTGTGTGGAATCAAACGAGTCAGCTGAGCTCTGTGTAGAGCTAGGTACCTACTCACTCAACGGCTGGCGGGTGCTGTCGGTCGTTGACCCGCGGTGGAATTTTAATGTTTTTCCTTTTTTTAGAAGTGCTTATTTATTAGTTGTTTTTCACTGGATATGTAAGTTTGTTTGTTTAAAATGAATAACTACTCAAAAGGAGGAAAGGACATAAAAATACACAAATTATAAATAAATACATGAAAAAAATATACTTCAAAAAAATCCGAAAAAAAACAGGCATACTCTATACACATAACCCAACAATCTCACGAAGTTTCATAGCAACATTCAATTTCACCCTATATATATATATATATATATATATTACTATTATAATTTATTTACAAGTAATAAAATGATACAGGCAATATGAACAAATTTAAGAATAATTAAAACAAAAAATATACTATAACAATGAACCTAAAACTAAAAACCTTAAAAAACAAAATATAATAACTAAAATACATTATTAAAAGGTGTCCCTTTAGGCAAGGTTCCGAAGATACTGGCAGCGTTCCCCCTTTGGATAGTTAAACCACGGTAATATTATCTATACAGTATTATGACTCCGCCCTGTCCTTGAAAATAAATGCCTACGGCCGAGCGCTGCGTTAGCACGCGGTAGGTCCGCCCGCCAACAGTATTTCATGTAGTTTTGTTTTTAACGCGAGTGTAAGTAGTAAAGTTAAATGGCAAAGTTGTAGGTAATAAAAAGATCTACAACTTTTGTATCGATACTTTTTTCACATAACCACAAAATTTATGTGAAAAATTCGATAAACGAGGTTTTGGCTCTTTATTTTTATTTTTTGCATAAAAAAATATTTTTTCACGAAATTTAGTGAAAAGTTACCTTTGTATGTCCTAAACATACAGTATTTTTTTTAATTAAAATATTTTTTTTTTTCACCTTATTTTGACTTAATATCGAAAAAGCACGTTTTGTTGAAATCTTTTTTTCATAGGACTTGCAGTTTTAACGGAAATCGAGATTAACCGTTTTTGACCCTTAAAAACTCACCCCCTCCCCCTTCCCGACCTCAGATCGCCCGTAATTTATATTTCCTTTCATTTTTATTATATTCCCTACCATTTCCAATGGGTTTCATCCTACTATAATTTTTTTTGGTCTCAAAAATTATCGATCCTGGTCTATCAATAAAAGAGGAACAGTTATTTATATCGCACGCGAAAAAAATATGGTTTAAATCACCATCATCAGCGCTACAATTACACATACTACTGTTGACTATTTCTAATCCAGCCAGATGAGAAGGAATGCAAACATGACCCAGTCTCATTTGAGTTACATTATACGTCGTTATCTTGCCTTTAAAATTATAAAACCAAGGCTTTGTAGGATTGAAAGTTTGAATTTTTGACTTATGCTTTCCTTTGTTTTTACTAGAAACAGACCATAATTTGTTCCCAGGATTCACGTAGATCCGAATTAGGAGGACCTAAAAGATCGTTAATGAAGTTTTTGTGTGGAAAAAAATCGCCACATTGTACAGCATCATTAGTCAGCTAAAAAAATGTGACGTGTGGAAAAAATGTTGAGTTGGCGGAATTTTGCGGTTGGCATCTTATTATAATTATTCTTTAATTCGTTCATAGTTGATATTGTTTTACAAAAATGGTGTGATTTTGTGTTACAACTGAAGTACAGTTTGTCTATAAAGTCGTGACATGAATGTTTGAGGAACTAACATTATTCATGTGTCTGGCAACACCAAAATTATCAGCTCTCAGCTGTCATCGAATTTCAGTTTTGGAACAGTTTTCCTTTTGTATTTTTTAGTGTTTGGATTAAACTGTAATAAATTAAGACGAAACTACACAGAAAGGTATAAAAATGAGTAAAGTAAATCGGAGTGGAAGTGATTTTTAAAGTTTTCCAGCGATGTTTCGAAGACTACCAAGCTGGACGGGATTTTTAGGGATTTGGATGATGTACAGCATCTATGACGTGTGATCGTGTAACTATTAGTTTGAAATCTGCCTGAAGTTACAAATTTACTCAATTTACGATTTTGAGACCAAAAAAGGCATTGTTTACATTGCACATTTTCAGGTTAGATTGACATTGTAAATAGGTAATATTGTAGTACGACCATTTCTTTTGATACGTTATTATGGTTCAACTCGGTCAGGTTTTCTACCAATTTGAATTATTTGCTTCATGTCAATAAGTTATTATTTCTATTCCGTTACATATTTTTTTACTTTTTTTCAAGTAAATCAGAGAGTACAGTTAAGCGGATAGTCTTTTTAAGAATGATGGAAAGTTTGAAACTCTTGGGAAAACAGGCAAGGCCGACCAAAGAAAGAAATGGTCACATAAAGAACCACGGCAAGATGCTTTTAGTGAAGATACCTATCACTAATTTTACTAACTGCACATTTACAAATTGTTTCTCTAAATAAACTTTTTATATACTATAAAATGATTTTTAGTATTATTTTCTTAACAAGTGTGTTAAAAAACGTCGTATGATACTTGTGTGTATTGATGATTACCTAACGGCTCTGGTCTCAATGGCACCTCAGCGGTAATCACCAACATTACACACTTGTACACTAAGATAAAGTACTATTTTATTTATAATAATTTTATTCTGATTCAATTAAATATGCTTGGTTAAACTTTTTATAAGCATAGATACCTACTATATATAAAACAGAGACAAAATACGACTGTAAAGTGTGTCTTAATTACCTATTTTACTTGAATGAACTGCTAGTAACAAAATCATTTTGGTCCGACTGTATAGGGTTGCTACATGCATACTAGTGGCGCCATCATTTAATGTCACGACTTTATAGACAAACTGTATTAGTGGAATCCTTAAAATATACGCTATTTCGTTCAAGTAGACGTGAGAACTTTATTGTAGTGTTGACTTCCTCACAGAAGCTTATCGAGAAAGCTGACTTGATACATTTCGTGCCAAACACCAAGAAACATTAGAATGCGTCACATGCACATTCTAATGTAAAAAAACAGAACATAGAAAACTGAAGACTAGGCTGTATCGGCATTATTCCCTTTGTCTTACCTAAAAAGGGAGAACGTTAAAAAACTAATTTTTCTATCAGTTCACTTTTTCAGTACATATTTTTCACAAATTCCCAAATAAATTCCTCGAGAAAAAAGGCTTTTACTGACTTTGATTCTAATAATATAAGTATAACCTGCCTGCCATGGTTTGTATTCCAAACGTATATTATTCTTATAAATTTTACAAAACAAGGTAGGATCCATTTGATTAGAAAAGTTCATTACAGGATGTACTCTCGCGGCCTGCTGAAGAATTTGGTAATGATGAAACGTTGGAGCACTTATGGGCAGCTAGGGCTATGGAACACAGCGATATATATTTTAATGCAAGTATTTTTGGGTTAAATTTGGTTCATTAACCTCTGAAAAAAGGTATTGGATTTTTGAAAAATAAGACTAATATTCTTATGTCTTTAATTAAGCCAAGCTGTGTGATTGTTCTCATTTTTAATTAGATCATAAATAAGTATACTATATATTTTTCTGGTAATAATCTCCATAAACATTGAAATGTAATTTTAGGTCCTCTGCTCCGTAGATACAAGATGGTTGCGACTGACACCTCATGATGATGTAATTTATACACACTTCAGACAAGATTTTCCAGACCTAGATGTATCCTACATTAATGAGAATGAAATTAAAAACAATACAAATAAATCCAAATGGAGAATGTACTGTGAGAAATTCAAAAACATAGTTGAAGACTATAGTTTTGGTACTCTATTGAGGGCTGATACAAAAGGTGATTACTCAGAACAAAATACTATGTTAGTTCCCAGAGTACAGTTTTATGCAATTGAAATAGCAAGAAATAGAGAAGGACTGAATAATGAGGTTAAGAAACATTTCAAGTGTGCGTCTAAAGCCAACTTGGAAGTACCAGAAAAATCTAAAGTTGCTGTATAATACAGCTTTAGCAGTCATTGCAGCTTTGTAATTTTTATAGCATTACTGAATAGTCAAGTTTCCCTGAATTTGTAACTTAACAGACCCAGAGAAGTAGAAATCAATGAATGGCAACAATAATGTGCCTTTGCGTTAGAGTAAAACTATAGTAGAATATCTAGTTAATTTTTTTAGCAATATTCTTCATTTAATTAAGCTACAAAAGGATCCATTTTACTCTTAATTTAAACTATTTTAGATCTAAAGTGGCATCTCTATTCTTGATATCTTATTAAAATTAATACAGTGTTATTGAAGCAATAAATAATATAAATCAATTAGGGTGATTGTAATATTTTTAGTTTCACAGTAAGCCTAATTTTTGATGTAGAAAGTATGTAGCTACTTACCTAGTGCAATGTTACAGAACAAAATAATATTCAGGAAATCATCTTGTGACAATCTATTCAAACACTATCTAATGTAAGTTAACAAAAGAATTAAAGATTAAAAAAAATGCCTAAATGGATGAAGTGCTCAATTACTCATGCATTTTGATATTAAAAGTTTTGTACTACATATTTTGTTTTCATTTTCTCCTCAGATATAGTGTTATTTATCTATATACAGTAATCTTTGCTCTACATTAATGTTGTATTCAAATCTCTAGGACAAATTGGAATGTAGATTGATATAGGACACAATTATGACTGGTTACTTTAGGAAGATCATTAATGTTTAGTAAAAATAACATGCACTTTGTCATAAAGTTGATCGAATCAGTAATTTTAGGGCATAGGATTAAAAACTTATTATATTAAGGTCTTACTCTTAGATTAAAACAAAAATGGAAGATACAGCACTCACAGCTCAATAGTGATCTGCTTAAATTTGAGGTGCATGACTAGAATTTGCTTTGGTGACAATTGGACATTCAAATACGCTGCATCTACACTAAATATAACAATATTGAGTATATTTTGTTATAAAGAGAAAACAATGCCTTCCATGCTTTTATAGAGAACAACAGTCGGGAATTAAACTATATTACCCCTAATGCAGGATTCAATAATATACTGTTATTAAATTTCTGCAGTGTTCTTTTAAGGGTAAAGCTATGTAAACAGACAAGGTTTTGTACTATGCAACTAAAAATAAAAAGGACTGTTGGTTTTTTAACTTTTTTATTAGTCTTATATCCTATGTGTTCACGAGGCTTCCATAGCAGTGGCAGTTTCCTCAGTGTACTTGCCCTTGTCCTTTCCGAGGGCAGCCAGGCGACCCTTCGCTCTGCGGTCGAGGATAGCTTTTCTGTCTTTATTCATCTTTAGTTTGACAATAACACACTGAAAAATAAAGTTTTAGATTAAAATAGGTCTCAATATTAGAAACAAAAATTGGCAAGAAATCCAAAATCAGAGCCATGGAAGTGTTGCAGCATTGTCCATGCCCATTCTAACAAAGCCTTCAGGGTTAACATCAGGCATCAGTTAGATATGAAGACATGTCTTAAGAATAAGAATTTTCATCATTTTTTTAGGTATTATTAACAGACTGCTCACTATTAACACTTAGGGACCCGCACTTCAAATTGCTACACAAACACTCGCTACCGGGTCCTGCGGACCCAGACAATATTACGTGTTTATTCGAAAACTTCTCAATGAAAATGGTTGGTGTTTTTAAATATCGTTAATAATGTCCAAAAAATAAACAAATATTTAATAAAATACGAATATTTATTGTTTTACTTAATCAAATGGTCAGTACAAAAATATACCAAATCTTGGCATAGTTTTACGACTAAACTTAAACATAAAGCTGTAAAATCTGTAACGATATATTTTTAACAAAATCTTCTTAACTTTAATAAACTACTATTATGTATCTACTAAGATAAAATATAATTAAGAGATCAATCATCATAGGAACAAGCAAAATCAACTTTCAAAATCAACTAATTTTAGATTTTTATTTTTGTATATAATCACTTTCCATCGTAGTTCTACATTTTTCTTTATAAAACTAAGCTATAACAATTTGCACAAATTTGTTTCATATGTTCTCCACAAACTGGGGTATTACATTTTACGCAAAAAACCTTGGTTTTCCTGTCTTCATGTGCCAATCATCTGATCAACTACATCGACTCCGCATTTGAAGGCGTTGTAATCACTTATTATTTCAGGTTTATTTTTTTCTCCACTTTTGTCATCAATTTTGGCATCATGATGCATAGTGGATGCTAAGAGAACTATTTTGCCATGTTTGGGTACATAAGATATTAGTGTGGCATCATTTTGAAATCCAAAGTACGTTTCGCGATCCTGCCTCCCTCTTCTTTGTGTAAACTCTAGAGGTATCTCTCTTTTATTTTTCTTTAGAGTTCCTAAGCAAGTCAGGCTATAATTGTCCAATAATTCTACCATCAATGAACGAAAAATAGTAAATAAACATAAATAACTAGATGAAAAAAAACACTAACGTATTTAGTCGCTACCGGGTCCAAAGGACCCATACACACCTTTCACGTCCATAGCACTCACAGGCAGCGCGCTAACTGACAGCTAAGATGGCGATCTATCGCCTCATACTATTGTCGAAAGGTACTAAGAGCAGCAACATCGCAAACTTCATAATTTTTAAGTAATTCAACAAAATACAAGGCACTGGGTCCACTGGACCCATTAGCGAGTCCTTATGTGTTAAGAAAACTGTTCTCAATGCCCTGTCCAGACCAGTCTTCAGTGGGCATTTTGGGCAAGTGCGAAAGGCCCCGCGATCGATCAAATACAAAGTCCCTAGTTCCTATTAAATCACCAAATGGGGGTCATAGGGGCCCCATTATCCTAACATGCCCAGGGCCTCCAATAGGTCAAAGAAAGCACTGGCCCTGTCCATTGCTAGACTTTTACTTTCTGTACAGGACAATGATTCTATACTATCTTTTGCTTTAATACCATTTTATGCAAGTTAGCAACACTATTCTAATACATGTGTGCATTTAGCACACATGTATTAGAATAGTGTTTATACAGAGAATGTGAGAATTACGAATTTTGTTTGTACCAGGTGCAAATTAAATAAGACTATCCCTCCCTAAATGCCTTATGGTTGTTTAAGAGAAGACAAATAAAGCACTCTTTTGTCTAGGCTTCACCTACTATTAACATCAGGCAATGGAAAAAATCTACTTGCACTTTTTACATTTCATTGTGGCTGGCAGGATTACCTGACAAAACAGCTTTGGATAAATAAAATAACAATGAATATGTTATTTAATAAATAGTTTCAACATTTCATTAGTGATAAACATATTTCCCAAGTGTAACGTTTATAGTGGATAATTCTTTTTCATTATTTGAAATTGAATAGCTAACAGGATTTCTGCCGTCCTAGTGAAGAATGCAAAAGAGTTTCAACATGATTTTGGGAAAATGCTTATTAAGGTTAAAATTGTAAAAGACATTCTCAAAATCATGTCGAAACTCTTACTGCTCTTAACCTGGACAGCAGATTAACAGGACCAAAAATTAAATAAATATGTATAGTACCTTTGAGGGATGGATACCGACGTATGCTGTGGCACCATTGGCCTTCTCACGTTGAATCCTTTCAATGTACACAACAAACTTTTTACGGTATACTTGGACTACTTTGCCTACTTGCTGGCCTTTATAATGTCCACGAACCACCTGTAATCAATAATTAAAAAAAGAAATGAAAACACATTATTGTAAAATTATAGTTTTATCTCTTTGCTTATAATTATGTTTTAACTAAAGTTTAAAACTAAGATCCTTCGTTTTCACAAATATCTATTATTTTTTTAAGAATAACCTCAAAACTATCATTCTCACAAACACATGACGGGAGCAAATACAATCAGAGCCAATTTTTGAACCATGGTGTAGACTTGCAACTTAGTCATGAGATCACTGAAGAAAACCTTCAGCTCTCTCAAGACACAGCTACGGTCGTCAACAGTCTGTGAATGGTTTGTCATCATCATTTTGTTTTGCTCTAAATGGCATGTGATCTCACTATGTAAATCTTTGTTTTTCTATCATTCAAAGGCTATATTCGATAAATATTAGCGTGTATCATTAAAGACTCACCTGTACTTCGTCGTCTTTGCGGATAGGCATAGATTTCACATTAAACTTTTGCCTCAATTCCTTGGATAGAGGAGCGGACATGAGAACTCGCCTGATGTGAGAAGGGGCGCTGAAATGCCGCTTCCTGTTTTTCCTTCTTGAGGACGTGACGAGCTTATTGAACTTCATTCTGATGCTCTTCACTGAAATTCCAAAATACCACGTTTATAGCACTGGGTTACAAATTTATTTACGAGCCGTTTAGGTTAACGTTTTGCTATGCGTGCTAAATGTCAAACTGTAGCGGCGAAAATACCCATCAAAGGTATTGAAATCTAAAGAAATATACATTGTAAGAAATACAATATACATTGAAAAATGTCACTATAACTATTTTGTTGGAATAAATAAATTAAATAGAGGGATTATTGCGGATTCCTCAACGTACCCGAAACGACACGGCAAAGAACCGAATTAAAAAGAAACTAAAAATGTTGCCAGTATGCGAAGCTGTACAATACCATTTTTCTGGGTTTGTTCTTTCTTAATGCCGGCACTTAAATGGGCAATTCGTGTTTGCTTTTTGTAAACTTTACATCAAGCTGTCTTATACCTTTTATTTTATATAAGACATGATAAGGACAGACTGTTATCAAGTTCACAAATAGCAAATATGAATAGACAAAAGCTTAGGGAAGTGCCGCAATAATAAACGAATAAAATGTATTTATTGAATATGCATATTAGCCAGTGTTACCAACCCTTATCAAAATTTTACCCTAAGTATTTTTTAAATTCCCCTAAACTCCCCTAAATATAGAAAATTATATGTACCTACTTATCTTATTACCTTAATTCTTTAGATGCTCATAAATTAAAACGTTACATGTTCTGTTACAGTAAATTATTTTATTGAATAAATACATTTTCCGAATGGAAAATCAAACGAAAATGAGCTGACAGGCAATTAAATCTTATTTAGCTGTTTTGATTGGTGGAAGGCAAAGAACTTTAGTCCATACAGCCTTAGGAAACAACCTGCCACACAGTGAGTTCAGTCGTTTCATATCGTGCTGCGTTCCATTCTACGCACAAAACTGAAAGAAAAAACACGCTTTGTTTTTCGATTTTATTGAATGTTTTGTTAAAAGCCCCCTAAAAGAACCCCCAAAAAATTCCAGCTCCTAAAAAAGTCACTTTTAACACTTCTAGCCCCTAAATCTGGGGGCAAAACCCCTAAGTTGGGAACTCTGATATTAGCAAATACTATAGAAACTCTACCGAGTTCTCTCTCCGGTTCTATAGTATTTGATAAAAGAGCATAAAGAAAAAAAATTGCCTTTTAAATATTGTTGTTCATCAAGGGGATGTACCCACGTCTAACTGTAAAAAATCATAGTAATTTGATAATTGAGCGTGATAAGAACGAGCCTTAAAATCATATCGCGGTGCTCATGCGCTGGTCAAATATTATAATGAGCCACCTACAAGTCCGTCATTTAAGGAACTCATGGTTTGTTGGTACTGGCTATGGCAACACTAAATTACTGTCAAATAGAACAGCTCGGCGGGGCTGCGTTCAATACCTACCTACCCTCTAGGCGTCGGTTTGGAACGCAACTCTGTCGCTCCTGTTCGAGTTCGAGTTCGAGTTATTTTTTAATGATACCGTTACGAGATGTAATAAATTAATCGGACTGTTTATATAGGCGATGTGATGCAGGTCATATTTAAAGTTATTCAGATGTTTAAGGTCGAATTTCAAGCGGGTATGCCACTTTCCGAATTTGACGACGTTTACGAATATTATAGTAAAGCACCGGTAGGTAAACGTTTACAAATAATGGAATTCACTAGAATTCAGCAGTAGGCCACGGGAGTACTCGGGTGTGAAGGCATAAAGCCTTATTACATGGTGATCTAGCAACGGGTTGTTGATAGAGTTATGTCAGTGTGCAATTTATAGATCCGTGTGTGCAATATTATTTTAAAATGTAAAATATAAAACAAACAATTTGTTTATTCTCTGAATATATATATTTATATATATTATTATTTATGTATTTTTATAGATATGTATTTTATGTAGTATATATATATATTTTATCTTGTTTCCATAGATATAAAAATATAATAAGTAATTTGATGAATTCTTTTTGCACTACCTTAAGATTTTTGCTAAAATTCTCCGGTTGACTGGTAGAGAATGCTTAATGGCATTAAGTCCGCCACTTGTTCATACTTTTGTGCAATTAAGTATAAATAAATAAATAAATAAAATTTAAGTACTGAAGTCTGTTAGCTTTCAATGATATTACTTTTATATGGTAGCAGAGCGTGGTTCATATAAAAATGTCTTCAAAAATCGAAGTACTATCAAAAGATAATTACGACACTTGGGCGATACAAGCCAAAGCTATCCTCATAAAAAACAAGCTATGGAAAGTTGAAAAATCCGTGGACTTGAGCAATGAAAATGTAAAAGAAGAGGACATATTGGCTCAATCAGAATTGATTTTATTGATTTCTCCATCGGAGATAAAGCAAATTAAAAACTGTAAGTCTGCCATGGTATTTGGACAAACCTGAAAGAAATTTATGCCAGTAAAGGTCCCGCACGAAAAGCTAGTTTACTACAATAAAACAATTAATTTTGACTACGCAGTGTGGAGATGTACGAGAGCATCTAAATATATTTATGGATGCAGTCGATAAATTAGCTGATATGGATATTTTAATAAATGATGATTTGCTATCTATTATTAAGCTGTACAGTTTATCCGCTGATTTTGAAAACTTTAGAGTTGCCATAGAGTCGAGAGATACTTTACCAAAACCTGAAATCCTAAAAATAAAAATCATAGAAGAATATGATTCTCGTAAACAAGTAGAGGCAAATGTTTCCGAATCCGAGACAGTATCCTTTTACGCATTTTGCAAATTTTGTATAAAGAAAGGACACTTAACTAAAAACTGCTGGAAAAGGAACAAAACAAATAAAGGCAAAGATTACAATAAAGAGAGGCAGGTATCCAATACTAATAGTAAACATAAAAATAATTTCGCCACATGTCTGTTGATGAATAACAATAAAAATACACAGGATATGGAGTGGATATTAGATTCTGGATACACAGCACATATGTCGAATAATAGAGAAATGTTCGCAGAAATGACAAAGACGTCGCAAACTCTCCGCCTTGCCTCCAAAGATGCAACAGCAGAAATAAAAGGAAAAGGATCAATAATTTTAAACCTGTCGGTGAAATCACTTTGAAGTATACACTCTACATACCAGACCTGAATGTAAATCTCCTATCAGTTCGAAAGATGACGGAAGCTGGATGTACAGTAAATTTCACCAACAAAAAAGCTACAGTTGTACAGAAAGGAATAGGTCTTATACTACAAGCCGAAAAACAAAAAGATGTTGTACTTAGTCCCACCCAAATCTATAACAAAGACACAGAATACCTACAATCAAGTAAGTTATAATTAAATACAAGATTGGCATTCTAAATTGGGTCACATGAATGAAAAAGATATGAAGCTCGCTTTGAGGAACGAGTCTTTACAAGGCCTAAATTTTGACGATGCAGATCAACTTGGAGATTGAGAGATATGTATTCAAGCAAAAATTTGCAGAACTCCTTGTAATAAAAATGACTCCACTATGCTAGAGGTTTTTAAAGAGTACAAAGAATAATCTGAAAACTATACAGGAAATAAAATAAAATAAATGTGTGTGTCAGCTCCGACGCACGACTAGGGACACGAAAAAAGTATCGATACTTTGTGGTATCGAGTACTTTTCCTTTCGATACCGATAATTTTGTACTCGATACTTTGTATTCGATACTTTTACTAAATGAGTACTTTTTGGCAAGTATCGATACCTTTAAAAATTTGGATAAGCGCCTCATATTGATGGCAACGTCATCTTGTTAAATCACAGCAAACTTACCTTCTAAAACGATCCATAGGGTATTTGACAAGTTTTACGCAACGATCTCACGATATTGACTAATGTTTATGGAGTCCGTAAAAAAAGGATTAGGATATTCATCATTCTGTCGTGTATTTTAGTAAAAATAACCAAATCAAAAACCCCATTTTCAAGTTGTCGCGAAAACGTTTCTCTGGACAATATGGCGTCTTACTAGTGTGTGACGTCACACGACTGTTATTAAAACGTCAAACGATACAATGTAATGTCACTTTAACCGGAAGTTTACTTGCGTGTGACGTCATTTTAGGCTCCGCCAATCCCAAGCGTTTTGGATCACGTGACAATAGATAAGAAAACTAATATCTTTTTCGTTATTTTGGCACTTTATTTTTAATACTGTCAAATGCCCTATTGCGTCGTTATAAAGTCAGTAACTGACATATTCAAATTCTTTCCAATCTGTGACTGTGTTTATTTTACGCTTTGTTTTGTTTCATAGTTATTTATTTAGCGACCATATTGTTAGGAACTGTGATTGATTCGCCGTTTATTGTGCTTTTCGCTTGACTGTATTTGATTTATTCAAGTGTAACACTATTATTCTGTCTGTGCTGTGTATACCTATTTGAAACCACCTGAATAAAAGACGGACGTAACCTCTTCTATAATTATAACCGGAAGTTTACTTGCGTGTGACGTCATTTTAGGCTCCGCCAATCCCAAGCGTTTTGGATCACGTGACAATAGATAAGAAAACTAATATCTTTTTCGTTATTTTGGCACTTTATTTTTAATACTGTCAAATGCCCTATTGCGTCGTTATAAAGTCAGTAACTGACATATTCAAATTCTTTCCAATCTGTGACTGTGTTTATTTTACGCTTTGTTTTGTTTCATAGTTATTTATTTAGCGACCATATTGTTAGGAACTGTGATTGATTCGCCGTTTATTGTGCTTTTCGCTTGACTGTATTTGATTTATTCAAGTGTAACACTATTATTCTGTCTGTGCTGTGTATACCTATTTGAAACCACCTGAATAAAAGACGGACGTAACCTCTTCTATAATTATAATCTTGAGTGAAGCATGCCAATGGCAGCCGTTAACTACGTGTCAGATTCAAGTTAACATAAGTGGGTATAATGTTTTTTAATGATTAAAATTCAAGAAAAGTAAGTTTAATTTGAAACAAATCTGAATCTGAAGTATGAATCTTATACTTTTAAATTGTTTAAGATTTCGATCTTTTTAATTAACATTTTAATTATGAATGTAATATAAATTAGTGTCAGAAATCACAGCTATTTTCTTTTCATTATATAATATAGCAATTTGTGAATTTACATGTCCTTTTTTTGTATTTGATTATACGTACTATAATAAAATTCGATTGTTTTTCTTTCAATTTTAACACGGGGGGGGGGGGGGGGGTTGCTCATCAGGCCACAGAGGCTCCGATAAGGCCCTATGAAATGTACTCGATACTTTGCAGTATCGATACTTTTGTTTCGATACTTTTACGAGTACGATACTTTTTTACCGATACTACTCATGAGTACAGTATCGATACTTTCTATTCGATATCGTGTCCCTACGCACGACTGGAGTTTACTCCTTAAGTTCGATAGTCTAACCAGACGCAAAAAGAGTTTATTTAACTTAAAAAAGATTGACACTGTATGAAAGGGTAAATTAACAAATTAATGAAAATAATATACATATATAAATATATATTTATTTATTTCATATACATTTATTATAACTAATCGACGAAATATTTTACATTAAACTTTTTACAATAGTCAATTTCAGATGTGCATAAATATATCATTAGGAATGTTGATAAATTATGTAATTATTATTATCAGACTATTATCATTTTTTTAAATATTAATTAAATCAACATTGTCTGCGTTATTAATTACAGTGACAAGTGGTTTATGGTAACTAAAATAAGACACATGGACGTTCGTAGATACGTGGTTCACGAATCTTGAAAATACCGTACAATGGTTGTACCATACCTCGTTGTCCCCATTGCTCTATCGGAAACAATATCTAAATTCAGTTCAGCCCCCCTAGCATGACTAACAAAACGCGATATGATAAAGCGATTTATCGACACTCAACTGTCAAACTCCATTGTAGTTTGACAGTTGAGTGTCGATAAATCGCTTTATCATATCGCGTTTTGTTACTCATGCTAAGGGGGCAGATTTTAAAAATTTTATTAATGTCAATCCGTCATCTTTGTTTGTCAAAGTTGCGCGACATAGGATGCGCACCAAAAACGTAACAAGGTCATTCATCGATAGATTTTACTCCTCACATTTTTCTCATACCAGGCCCCTTATATATGCAAATCGATTCTTAAGGAGTAAACTCCAATAAAATTTCTTCAAACAGATAATGGTACCGAATATGTAAATACCAATTTTAATTCTTACCGTAAAAGTCATGGTATATCACGCAGATTGTCATGTCCTTATACTCCAAACCAAAATGGCATAGCTGAAAGAAATAATCGAACTCTAATAAAAAAAAGTGCGATGCATGATGATAGAATCGAATGCACCCATGAGTTTATGGGCGGAAGCTATTTTTACCGCAAATTATCTTTCGAATAGAAGTATTAACAAGAGCTTAAATAACAATACGCCATTCAAGCTATGGGTTGGACGTGAACCCTGTGTCAACCACTTATATAAGTTTGGTTCAAAAACATATGTTCTTAAAAAAGGACCAAAAGGACAAAAATTTTCTTCAAAAGCTCTTGTCGGAATGTTTGTTGGATATTCAGAGCATTCTAAAGCTTTCAGGATTTATATCCCAAATAAAAATAAAACTATTATTTCTAGAGATATACGTATTGCAAACAGATTTTTGTATAAAGAAAATATAAATAATAACTCAAACAATGTTAAACATAGTCCTAGAGATATATTAGTATATTTTGATATTGAAAAGGATTCAGAAAGGAGCTCTACCATTCATGAAGAATTTGAATCTGAAATTAACCAGCCCGAGACAGGCACAAATCACGAATGTAATGTTGAAGAGCCTGACCGAGTTTCAGAAGATGCTGAGCAAGTAGATCACATTGATAATGAAACGGAGCCTAGCATTCGTAATGAACACACAGGACGGTCTCAAAGAGACAGATCAAAAATTGTATCACCTCAGCGCTTTAGTGATTATGTAATGACAGCAGTAAATGAACTCGATGATAAGCTAAATGAACCGCTATCATATAAGGAGGCAATGAAAAATTCAGATAGATATAAATGGTTAGAGGCAATGTAGAAAGAAAAAAATGGTATGAGTAATTGTAAGCCTGTTGCAACACCTGCTTTAAAAATAAAAGAAGAGGAGGAAGAGAATAGCAATAGTGTTAGTTTTCCTTACAGACAAGCAGTTGGTGCATTGGCTTCTCTGACAGTAGCTACAAGGCCAGATATTGCACACTGACTGCATACAGTCAGTGTTCTATCACCTTGGAAAATCCATCATCGTCAGATATACAGAGAGTAAAAAGGATATTAAGATACCTTAGAGGAACAATTGACAATAGATTTATATTTGCGAAGGGTAAAGACACACTGGAGTGTTACAGTGACGCCGATCTTGGTGGAGCGTCTACTGGTCGTTCTACAACAGGAATGATCTGCATATATTCTGAACCTATTTTGTGGAAAAGCCAGAAGCAATCCACAGTTGCCATTTCGACAACAGAAGCGAAACTAATGGCTGCAAGTGAAACCGCAAGAGAAATGATTTGGCTAAGGAAAATAATGATGGAACTAACAGATTTGAAGTTTCCAGCTATTCTTCATGTCGATAATAAGAGTGCTGTGAAACTGACCTACAATCTACAACATGAGTTCCACAACAGAACGAAGCACATTAAATTACGGCATTTGTTTGTAAGAGAATGTGTGACAAATAAAGAACTGACAGTGAAGCAGATTTCAGCAGAATTTCAACTAGCTGACATGTTTACAAAACCATTGTTCACATTCTGTTACTTATAATTCGAAGACATGGCGCTGCCTTGCAGCTTAAAAGCGCCTACAATAACAATCTAAGGTGTAAGAGTGGGGATGACCCTTAATTGCCTCCTGAATTGTGATGTGTATAGGCAAGTTGGGGCAATTTTCTAAATCGGGCCTGCGGCAGGGCGGCAGGAGCGCGCGACCACCCTTGCACACTAGATTGTCCCAACCGCCCTGCACGTTGCCGCGTGTGTAGCGCGATTGGGCCAATTTCTCAATTAGTCGGTTAGTAGCTGTCACACGCAGGGCACGTATTTCGATCAAGATGGCGGCAGATCATAATGAGCATGAAGTTTGGACACAAGTGATCGAAGTATATAAAGACCGTCCCCATATGTGGGATAAAGAAAACAAACATTATTTAAATATGTTTTTAATTAATTTTCATTTTTTAAGTATGTGACTGCTTGATATTTAAATCTAAAGAAAATATTACTAGAAAAATAGAAACAGTTTTTTTTTTATTTTTTCTTGTAATATTTTCTTTAGATTCAAACATTGAACAGTTACATGCTTAAAAAATTAAAATTATGACTTTAATTGCTATTTCTTCTTTTAAATTAGAAAATTTTAACGGTTGGTCTGATTTCGATGATTTGAAAAGTATATTGATGAGAAAGCTTATTGAAATACTATACTGACCTGCAAAACTAAGTATCACACTTTTAAAATAGCAATAACTTATAAAGCACACAAGATATACTTTCGAAACCCTGTTAGAAGAGGCATTTTTAAAATTCTATTTCTAAATTACTGTGTGTACCTACTTAATATTTACATATGAATTTGTTTACCTGATACTGTTAGGTTTATAAATTTCTTTGTATGTACTTTGTAACAATGTTTATTGTTACTTAACTGGGTAATCACGAGAAAAAGAAAGCATTTTAGCCTTTTATTACAGTAAGTAGGTACCTACCGAACTACTACAATGTTATCAAATAATTAAGTAATGTTTAAATAGACAATCATAAAAATACGGACGTAGTCGTCTGAATAAATGTTTACGGTAGTTGATAGTTACGCATAGAGGTATAAGAATAGAGTAGGGGAGTAATGTACCTACTCTACTATAAGTGGAAGTGTTCGTCTAGTAGAAAGAGAAAGAAGATGACGGACGGCTAGCTATCTCTCTCTCTTGTGACGCTGCGCAGTCGTGTGATTGGTCGGTAATTATCCGTATATAGGTTTTTCATCCAATGCGCATTCGCGATTAGAGAGAAAAAGGCTAGCCGTCTCTCATCTTCTTTCTCTTTCTACTAGACGGACACTTTTAGAGCCGCCTTCCCCACTCTGTTCCTATACCTCTATGTAGTTACGAGAGTTGACGTAGCGAAAGATTTTTATAAAAGGCACCATTTTATCCACCACTCCACTTAGGTGTTTGGAGTCTAGTTATGAAGGATTACAGTAGAAAAGTGTGCCGCTTCACTTAACCTCACCATGCTGGGTAAATCCGAGCCCCTACCCCGTCGAGTTCTGGAACCTTTGAAGTCAAACACAGGCTGCAATGGCTATTATCTTTACTTGATATGAAAGTTGGTATCTCTGTCCGTGTTTCCTATTTTCTTTGCCGTTTTCAAACTTTTTTTTTAATATTTTACGCGGGCAAAACCTCTCATATCTTACATACGTTGGCGCTCTTATGGGGCATACCAACGAACGAGCCTCACGCCTCTCACAAGTCTCACGGGTGCGAAACGGAGAAGCCGATATGCAGTCCGTGCGGCTTACGAGCGCTTACGGCATACTATTCGCTAAAAACCCTGCGAATACCCTCTACGCTGTTAAGTGTTGAGGGATTTCACCACGTCTCCGCACCTGACAGCTTCCTGGCCTAGCCGGTGCTCCACGGCAGGGATCACACGGGGTAACGGATGTGGTCAACGGGTCCGGCCTCCTCCTGGGGCAGGTTTACGCTTTCAATCCTAAATTACTATACCAATTTTGATGAATTTCATAGTATGGAGATAAAGAACATCTTGATGAAGGACAAAGGGTACTTTTTGTCACAAAAATAATACTTTAAATTGCAATTTAAACCGCTTGTGTCTGTGCCTTAGCTTATGTCTAGTCTATGTTTTGTAATCTTAATGTAATAGACATAAGTTTTCAAGTGTGTTTAGGGTTCCGTATCCAAACGGTAAAAACGGGACCATATTACTGAGACTTCACTGTCCGTCTGTCTGTCACCAGGCTGTATGTCATAAACCGTGATAGCTAGACAGCTGAAATTTTCACAGATGATGTATTTCTGTTGCCGCTATGACAATAAATACTAAAAACTGAAGTGATTTTTTCGCCGGTTTTCGCTCGATATTTTATTTAAGTGCCTAATGTTGTATAGATAATGGTACGGAACTTCTTCTTGCGCTAGTCCGACTCGCACTTAGCCGGTTTTTATTTTAAAAACCCCTCTTGCACCATCAGAGGGCTTCGCGAAATATACCTTGCCCACATTAAGTTTAGGTCTTGCGCCGCTACTGATGACGAGGCCGGGTTCAGGAATGAGTGCCAATATGAGATGATTGCCAAATAGGTGGATTGTATGTACACCGAAAGTCAGTACACCCTAGCTAGGCCATCGGCTGGCAACGCCATTGAGAAAAATCGTTTTTGGCAGCCGGATTTACTTCTTGTAATTTATTGGTTAGAATTTACCAGGCAAATCTTTGTAGAATTCCGTTGATAAATAAATAGTTTTATCAACGGAATACCTATATCGTAATCGTAAGTCGTTATTTTACGAATGTAGCCTAGACGTGCGCCTTTCGCACTCGCTGCCTGGCCTGCAGCCATGCGTGCGTGCGACTGCGTTTGTGTGGTTGACAAACAAAGGTTCTAAACAGCGCGGTTTACAGTGCCCGCCCGTAAACAGTGCAATGTCAAACGAAATTTGGTGTACAACAGCCATCCACATGGTTATGGTAACTAGCAAGGTCACCTCTGTTTACAACAGGATTTACAACCGTGTATCACGTGTCCGTGTAGCACGCGCGGTAGCGTGTAGCTGTGCGAGAGTGTGCAAATGATATCACATCATAATATTATTTTAAACTCTTCAGACTCTTCTAAATAATGCCAATCAAAACAGGAGTCAGTTTCGAATCGCTTGTGTCTGTGCGAGTCACCACAATTTAATAGCATCTTAAAATATTAATTTATTGGATATCACATATCGTTTAAAGTTTATAATTAGTACAATATTAATAAATTAAAATATTGAAAAAAAAATGGTTGCGTCAACTGTGCTTAATAAATCGTTACATGGTGATGCGTTCACGAAACTTCAGAAGTTTGGATATTTTCAGATTTTTCAATATTTTTTGTTGTGTTTACCATTAATTGTAGTGTCTATGATGCATGTGAACTATGTATTTGTGGCTGAAAAAGTGGACCACAGGTAAAAACTTACATTTAAGGTAAAATTAAATAGATTTTAAAAAAGATGATAATTTTAGTAAATTCCATATTATTAAGGTAAAAAAAAACACTTTAAGTAGGTACAACATCACTTTAAAAGTACTACCTATATAATAATGTACTACTTCTAAAATATGTAGCTAAAGCAAAAAAGGACTAGGTACATTTTTATATTATGTTAAAAGGGTGGCTAACAGGCGTTTGGCCCACCTGATGGTAAGCGACCACCATAGTTTATAGACCATCGATAGATAGACAGGCGCTTTCGACACCAAAAATATCACTTGCACCGTTTGCCTACCCTGAACCAATCCCCTACCCCTTTGAACTTTACTCAACGATAGAAACTTTACTCAACGATAGAAACACAACACTTGACAACACCACCAAAAGGCAGTGTTAAATTAACGCTCGTTGCTGCACATGAGTTCCGTTTTCTTAAGGGACTCTCGCGGTGTCCTCGGTTGTTTGGGGGACTTTTTGTACTCGGTACTTTTAATACCTCGTGTTTGTTACTCGATACAGTTGTAAGCGATCTATTTAGGCGGACAAAAAAGTACGCGGACAAAATTCCCTTATTGGCGTAGGCCATTAACTTCGCAAATTAAGAATTGCTAACTTTGTATGATGATTACATACAGACACATATTTACATTTTAAAACTTATATTTTTCTTTTTAAGACATGGAAAAAATGCACTACTTGTGCCCATGACCAGATCACGCAGCGCACATGAGGACTTAATAAAAACTATCGATATTAACAAGAGCTTTTCATGTAGTGTCAATTGCTGCATATTTAATGCTCAATTGACATTGATTGTGTAACTATCTATCTAGTGTATATCTATTTAAGCTATTTGTAAGTATTTCACTATTGTGCTCACTTAATGTTTGATGATATTGCGGGTGCGATATGATAATAACAATTTTTAATGTAGTAAGTTTGTATCTCTTAAAAGAAATTAAAATAGTAATCACTTTGTTGTCCGAGTGTCTATCCATCCCGTTCTGAGCAGGCAACTACGGTACAGGTATCAAGCTGAAATTAATGTCAAAAGTCTTGCAATGATTAAAAATGAAAAATAAAGCGAGTGTCCTTATGATCACACGACTGAAGTGAAACTTCTTTAGCCCCAATGATCTGAAAATCATAAACTTAACCTGAAGATTTGTTGATAGAAAAAAAAAACCACGAACCCGCGTTGGATCCGTTATCATCCACCAATCCGCATTGGGTACATTGCCACACACCAATCCGCGCTAGGTCCGTTATCACCCTCCAATCTGCACTGGGTACATTGTCACACAACAATCCGCGCTGGGTCCGTTATCACCTTCCAATCCACGCTGGGTCCATTATCACCCACAAATTCGCGCTGGGTCCGTTATCACACACCAATACGCACTGGACCCATTGTCACCCGCCAATCCGCGCTGGGTCCATTGTCACCCACCAGTCCGCGCTGGGTCTGTTACCACCCTTCAATCCGCACTGGATGATTGTCCGTTATCATCCAGCAATCCGCACTGGGTCCGTTATCATCCACCAATCCGCACTGGGTCCATTGTCACCTACCAATCCGTGCTGGGTCCGTTATCATCCACCAATCCGCACTGGGTCCATTGTCACCTACCAATCCGTGCTGGGTCTGTTATCAACCTCCAATCCGCGCTGGGTCCATTGTCACCCTCCAATCCACACTGGGTCCATTATCACCCACCAATCCGCGCTGGGTCCGTTATCACCCACCAATCCGCACTAGGTCCGTTATCATCTACCAATCCGCACTGGGTCCGTTATCACCTATCAATCCGCACTGGGTTCATTGTCACCAACAAATCCGCGCTGGGTCCGTTATCACCCATCAATCCTCACTGGGTCTGTTATCACCCATCAATCCGCACTGAGTCCATTGTCATCCAAAATTCCGCGCTGGGTACGTTATCACCCTCCAATCCGCACTGGGTCCATTTTCACCCACCAATTCGCGCTGGGACCGTTATCACCAAATACCCATCAATCCTCACTGGGTCTGTTATCACCCACCAATCCGCGCTGGGTCCATTGTCACCGACCAAGCAGTAGATTCATGTATTTTGTGACGGGTATTTTTCATTGTTTACCGATGAGTCATCGATGACTCTAATCGTAACGCGAAACCGTACGTAACACATTCGCTAGTTTACCCCACGAGTCAAGCGTGCCTTAAGAAGTTTCACTTCAAAAAAACATGAAAAATAGATAAATGAATGATTTACCACATAATCTGAGTCGTACGGAACCCTCGGAGTGCGAGTTCGAATTGCACTTCATAGTTTTTAATCTAAGAAGTTGCAACAATGTATTCAATACTTGTCGATTGTCATTAATACTTATTAGGGCTTCATCGTTCGTTGCAGATGTATAGTACCAGAATGTGATAACAATAATGCAACAGCACTAATACCTTCATGGTGGCCTAGTAATGCTGAACCAAAGTGTCACAAGCCGATACTTAATCTCAGGAAATACAATGCAAACAATCACATTTGCTCGAACTCCACTTTTCTAGAACATGTCGAGGAATGTCATGTATGGATTTTCGAAAATAACAACTCTATCGTGTCTGAGGTAAGTAAATTGTTGATTTATTAATAGTCAAGCCCCAGATTGGCCAGATTTTCAACAAATTCACGTATAAGTAGGTACTTATTTTATGTATGAAGGTGTAGACAATTAATTGTAATAGAGGGGTAATAAAATTTATTAACTATGTTTCAGTAAGCTGTTTAAAATTAATATTTGCAAGTTTACCACAGTATTCTAAAGAAAAGTTTACTAGAAAAAAAAATCCACGCGCACCAGGCAGCGGACGGGACGTTTTTTTTTCTAGTAAACTTTTCTTTAGATTTAAACATCTAGCAGTTAAATGCTTAAAAATAAATAAAATCATTACCACAGTATTACTTATTAAATGATAGTGGTACCTTATGATAAAAGACAAATACTTATTTATTGTGAGGTTTATGTAGATACCTAACGGGTAGGGTGTTAACCTTTTAAAAGTTTAATTTTCATGACAAATAGTAGCCAATAATTGTTTGGGGGGTCTCGTCTGTCTCTGTACCAAAATTCAGCATAATCTGTTGAGTGGTTCAGGCGTAAAAGCTCATCAAACTAACCCATTTTCGCATTTAAAATATTAGTAAGGATAAAATTGTTTGTCCAATCATTTAGAAAAATTTTATTTCTAATAACAAATAATTAAAAGATAGTGCCCCTGTTAATATCCTAAATTTGTAAAATGCTACAGTTAGGTAACTAATTAATTACTATTAGTTTCACTGCTGGTACACATGCACATGAATTCCAATATAACTGACGGACTAAATAGAATTTCGTTAACTTTACCCGGTAATTATCATTATTCCAACCACCATTCATTTCCATCTAGACATATGAATGGTAAGCAAATACAGAAACATCAGTAGCAAGTTAGTTGTGCCTTGACTTTTATTCCAGTCGACCAAATTGGAACGGCGCGGCGCGGCGCGGCGTTTTCCACTTTATGATATCATCTTATCATAAAATGTTTCTGCAATCGTCTTCGTCAATATTTATTTCAACTCAAGATCTTCCTATAAATTCACTCAAAACACGAGACCGACAAAGAATAGGAGCACTTCATCCCCAACATTGGTCCTTCGAGCCGGATAATCCTATATTCCTAGATATGGTTGTAGTTTTTTATTAATATGACTGATCACTCATTTAGCTTTCTAGCAGAGCCTGTATGATATTGATATACCTACTGAGCATAAAAGCATAAAACATCCGAATCCATATACCTATTTCAAAGATGTAATTTTATTATCATTTCAGCTAAATCTTGGCTGCCAATCGTGGAAAACTTCTCTCGTTGGCAGTATTCATAATGCTGGTATGATCGTTTCGATGATGTTCGCTGGATGGATTGCAGATAAGTGAGCAATTTAAAAAGCATAACATCTTATTTATTATCAAATTTATAACAAGAGTTACAAATCATATTTTTTTTCAGGATAGGAAGAAAACCTACAGCAATAATTTGCTCTATCGGAGGTTTCGTGGGAATCTTTAAAATATTCGTTGTCAATTACTATGTCTACATAGCTTTAGAATTTTTTGAATCTGTCATTGCCTCGGGATTATATACCGTTGCGGTTGTTTTGTGTAAGTTATTTATACACTCAAGAGCAATGAATCCGGGTTACATAAAGAATCCTAAAAATTTCGCAAACTATGAATGCTAGCTTAATGAAATAAATTGTGTTTAATAGACAATTAAATACTCCTTAAATGAAAGTAATAAAATTTATGAGACACCACATTTTAATTACAAAAAAATACATAATTCCTTATTATTTCCTTCCCCTTCCATCTCTTCAGGGCACAGCACTACCGCTGCAGAGCAACATTTCCATGCTCGGTATGGAAGTTCGCTCAGACCTGAATCCAAAGGACTACATCGAAACTGTGATCAAAACAGCTTCACGCAAACTCGGAGTCCTGAATAAGGTGCGACGTTTTTTCACGCCCGTGCTTGTTGTACAAAACGCAAGTGCGGTCCTGTGTGGAATATTGCTCGCACCTCTGGGATGGCTCCGCCAAGTACTTGCTTGATGCTTTGGATAGGTTACAGCGGCGCGCGATCCGCATCATAGGCGATGAGGAGGTGACTAAACACTTTGAGCCTCTTCAATTACGCCGTGACGTGGCGTCACTAAGCGCGTTCTATCGTTTGTACCACGGCAAGTGTTCTGAGGAGTTATTCTCTCTTATCCCACCTTCCCCTTTCCTTCAGAGGACCACGCGCGCTGGCCTCCGTTGTCACCGTTTTACTGTGGCCACAATTCCAACGCGTACAAAGAAATTTGGTGACTCATTTCTTTGTCGCACTATCCGTAAATGGAATGCTCTGCCCGCTCACGTGTTCCCTCCCTCTTACAACCTGGGATCCTTTAAAAGAGGCGTGAAGAAGCAACATGCAGGCCGGCAGGGTGAGGATGGCTGGTGTGGCAGGTAGAACTGCTGTATCAGCTATCTTCGCGTCTGGACTTCATCTTCACTTAACATCAGGTGGGGTGGAGTCATTTGTCGGACCTATCTATAAAAATAAAAAAAAACAACATAAAGAAAAGGACTGGCTGATCTAGCCTTAAAATAAAAATAGGAAACATGACATTTTTGAACAACATTAAGATTTTCTTGAATTCTATTCTAATTGCCTCCTCGTGCTTCCATTACTGCGTTTACCCGGTTTGGCATGCTGCACACCAAGTTTCTAATACGATTTTGAGGTATATTCTCCCATTCCTCTGTAAGAGCAATTTTGAGCACACAAAGCGTAATTGGGGGAGGGTTTCGTTGTTTAACGCATCTCCCTAGCTCGTCCCAAGCATGCTCGATCGAGTAATTTTCATCTCTTAAAAAAGCATCCTCACCCAAATTGGCCACAAATAGACCAATGGACGTGTTCATTCAATATTTCTTAAACATATCTTTCGCTTGTTAAAGAGACGTTTTCTATGAACACCAGTTCTGAGCGATTCTCAGAAGAATTAACAGCCCACATAAGTACAGTCCCACCACCGTAGGCTACTTTTTCTTCGATACATGCTTGCTTGAATGTTTCCCCAGTTTTTATATATAGTCTGTGTCTTCCGTCGTGCTTGTAGAGCATAAACTTTGATTTGTCTTAGAACATAACCTTTGACCAATCATCAATAGTCCAATTTCAGTGGTTCTGGGCATATCTTAGTCTTGAAATACGATGACCACGCTCCAGTTTAGGGTCGATTGCAAGTCTAAGTGGTTAAGTCAAGCTAGCTTCAGTATGTCATTGTCTTACTATCCATGCGCTTGGGTTACTTTCTCCGAGGCATCAAAACTGATTTGTAATTTCAGTTCCTGTGGGAAAGCGATTTCGAAGCATGGTGTTCACAAAGTATCGATCTTCTCGTGCTGTGATACACCTGGATCTGCCTGTTCCTGGAATGCGTAGGTTAGAGCCAGTTTCCTCGTTACGTCGGAGAACTCTTTATACTGTTGACAGCGACACACCGACAGTCCTGTGGACCGTTCTGTTTCCAGCATTGTGAGAATTCTGGTGCAGTCTTCAGGTGTAAAGGACATGATTACAGCTTGAATAATAATTAATATTGAACACTATCGACATGGTATAATGAATGATAAATGACAGATTAGAAACAAAAGCAAAAACAAATGCAGTAATTTCGTAGTTCTATCTTCAAAAGTCTCCTTTATTCAAAATTTTTTTTTATAATATTACTAAGAAGTTTTAATATCTTCATTTAACGAGTATTTAATAGATTTGAATTTATTTCATTATGCTAGCATTCTTAGTTTGCGAGATTTTTAGGATTCTTTAAGTGACTCGGATTCATTGCTATCGAGTGTATAAAAAAACTAAGCGGACCCGATAAACATCGTCTTACCTCATAAAAATCCTACAACCAGTCTGTAGTACCTATCATGTTTAATTGTGAATCTTTAGCAAGGACTCACAAACCTGGATGGTAAGACTTCCTTACCATCCAGGGATCCACTTGAATGACACATAAAATTTGATCGAAGTCATTCGAGTCGCTTAGGATAGACTCAGATAGAATAAAAATTTAAATAAAGAAGATTTAGATTTTTACAATTTAGTCATAAAAACCTTTTTTCATATTTCAGTAATTGAAGTTGGAGGAGAAACTAAGAGAGTTGTAACAGGCGTTATATTTTCATACGCAGTGTATATGGGTGAAATATTATTTGCATTAATAGCCATGGGGTTGAGATATTGGAAGTATCTCGTATTATTTGTGTATACACCTGCAGTTCTGTTCGTTTCATATACGGTTCTGCTTAGAGAAAGTACGAGATGGCAAATATTACATGGCAAAATGGATGACGTTAAAAAGACGTTCAAATTGACTTCACGAATGAACGGCCTTCAATTGTCTGATGCAGAAATAGACAGCTGGAGTGATGCAGAGATTAGATCAAAATACAATTTGGAAAACCAGTTAAAAGAAGAAAGCATGAAAGACGTAAGAAAGTCCAAAGAACTGCTGACGCGTCTAGCAGTAACTTCCTTTTGCTTTTTCACGTCTAGTTTTCTTTATTATGGCTTGATAATACATTCGGTGCTATTGCCAGGCGATAAATATACTAACTTTATTTTGACCTCGGTTGTTTCTTTCCCCGGTGATTTGCTGGCGTTCTACACAATGAATTACATTGGGAGAAGAATCACGCTACAATGTGGTTATTTGATCACTGCAATATTTTTAGTAGCTCAGAGTTTTTCACCTGATCGTAAGTTATTATAATTTTTCCTTTTACTTCACCCCGTATATTATTTAATTAATCCCTGCTGTCCTGTTTCCCAGAGGCAGAGTAGGGCAAATGCAACTTCACTTTATCCTCCGCCTTGGTCCTGCGTCTTGCCACACCTCTTTCACTGTTTTAAACTTTTAATCATTCCTCAATCGCTGCATCAGCTGCATGCATTATAATCGATTTATTGGTGTTTGTTAACGATATTGAATACCCTAAATACAACATCCGATACGAACAAAATCGTGGCCGAAACCTGTCCAAATGGTACATTGAACAATCAGAGCTCCTTAAGATGATCGCGTTGTCAAAAACAATACATACAAACATTGATTAGATACCTGTTGAAAAAACGACACTTTAATAAGTTTAAGTTTTTTTTTCGTATTCTTCACGGAACTCTGCGGTATCTTGACATTTCAACAGTCCGCGTGTGACTGTGAACCAGGAAGTGCTTGAGTGGATTTCAAGCACTTCTTGATTGGGATACATTTTGAGCGCACGTGGTGTATCTAAGGTATTTAATATCGTTGGTGTTTGTACATGACTTCGCTTGTTCATATTTCAAGGTTCTGACTTCGAAATAAAATCGCACTCTCGAATTAGATTATTTCCTTTAATCAAAATAGTTTTACTTAAATTAATTCAATGAGGGTAAACTTAAAAGGTGGTCTTCATTACAATATCTTTTTTTACAGATTTGGTATGGCTCAAGATATTTCTATTTCTAATAGGTAAATTCGGAGTGGTAATTTGTTTTACCGGAATTTACACTTATAGCCTGGAATTATTTCCGACAAGCGTAAGAGGATCTCTTTTGGGATGGGGCAACACAGCGGCGAGGTTTGGAAGCATGTTGGCTCCATTTACGTCGCTTCTGGTAAGATCATTCAGTCATTCAAAATCAGAAAAAATCATGAATAAATATAATCTTTTACACTAGGGGCCGATGTTTACCGGAATGGCGGTAAACACTGTCATTGTGAAATAATTTTAAACTACCTATCTACACAGTTCAAATTCTATGTAGTATAGCTTGAATAGGTCCTGCGGTGTCGCAAAATTTTGTATGAAAACTTAACTTGACTACAATCAACGCCATAACGGACGTAATGAGAACTAAAAATCAGTACAAATTTGAGAATGACAGTTCGTACTCTCAAATGTTACAAATTCGATATTCGTTCGTGCTAAGGGTACGGCTTCCCGTGATTGTGCTGGTGGCTGCGTGGCTTCTTCCAGCGTTTCAAGCGGTATATGACTTTTTAGTATGTAAATAAAGTTTAAAATTATTTTACAGTCAAAGTTCAGGCCGCTTCACTGCAGGCCGCTGCAATTCCGTCGTGAATTAGCCCTAAAATTGCGGGTATCTTATTAAAATGATGTTCGGAGTTTTGACACGCTACAAATAAATGTTGATGGTATTGATTTACACACCATAATAAGGTGTTATAATATTATAACGATAATCACAAGACTTATTATAAAACAGGTTTAATTTCTTCATTTCAGGTGACGCAGTTATCTTCATTGCCTTCCATACTGTTTTCTTCTACGGCGATTATATCAGCTGTGCTTTTATCATTTACACCAGAAACTAAAGTTTTACCATTATTCGATACAATTGCTCAAATGGAAGCTTATAAAACTTAAATTATGTAAAAGTAATTGTTTTTATTACGTATACATATTGTAAATTGTACATATTGAAGTATAATTTTAAATCTATACTAATAATATAAAGAGGATTATTTAATTGTTTGTTTGTATTGAATAGGCTCCGAAAGTACAGGACCGATTTGAATTCTAATTTCATTAGAAAAATTCTTTCACGTTTAGAATCCTAAATTATCCCTGATGAACATAGGCCATAGAGTATTTTCAAACACGTTACGGTTCCGTATAAAAACTTCGATAACGTAACCCAGTCCCCGTAGCATGAGCACCATAAGATATATCACGTTTTTTATCGAGCCTTACTGTCAAACTCCATAGTAATTTGACAATTGAACGTGATAAAAACGCGTTAAATATCAAATCGCGGTGCTCATACTAGGGCTATTGTTTTACACACCCTGGCCGTGAAAAAATATACAAAATATAATCTTATATCGCTTACGTTGCGGAAGTCATTGACAGTAGAGATTGAAAGTGATGTACTAAAGTTTCTTAAAGGACATCAATATCTACAAAAACCCACGATACCATAATATGTCTAACTATTACAGTTATGTCACAAATAAAAGTTCCACTGCAGTTTCACCTGCGTTAATTAGAGGAAAAATGTTACAGTGAGCCAAACTTAAAAGGTGGGCATATACTGTCGTGGACTTTTTTTATAGAACTTTTAAAGGGAAATTATTCCACGATACATGATTTTTATGTAACTTTAATCATTTACGCAGCGTACGCAACGGAAACTCACAAATGGTATATTTTTATCCGTTTCTCCAATATTTTACATCGATAATCCGCCCCTACTGTTCGCAGCGTGATGTTATACCCTTTAACCTTTCATAATCAATTCAAATCGGACCATCAGTTCCTCAGATTTTCGCGTTCTACCAAAAAATGGGGCATTCGGTACAACGGGTCCTAAAGTAAGCAAAAAATTTTTTATTATCAGTGAAATAAAATTTCACGGAAGGTTTATGAATATATAAAGAAATTCATTGTGTATAATACAAGCCTGAGAACAAAAACTATAGTCTATTTACATTACAGCTCTACACCGAAGCGAAGCGAGGGCGGGCCACTAATGTCTAATAACTGTATCGAAATCCATCTATAGATTGATCCATGGTTGTAACAATACTTGATATGGCTAATAGTTTCCATGTTTTCTCTTGATTTTGTTTACTAGTTATAGTGTTTTTGTTATGGATTACCTACTAGGTTTAAACAACGAGTTAAATAAAGCTAGCGAAATGTAAACAAGCACTACTCAACAAATATATAAACCAACACTCAAGTGACTGAGTCAAACATTCAAGAAAGTTTCCAAAAATTCAAACTTTCCGTGCCCTGCCGCTCCAGTTCTCTTTTTTTTATTGTGAAGGCAAAATAAACTCCGTATATACATCCAAAATCAATGGTAGTTAAAGGTGTATGTGTATGGGTATGTAGTACTTATGCTATGCTTTTAGCAAAATTGTAAAAATAGAGCATACTAATATATTATCATAAAAGAAAACTTCTTATTTAATTTCAACCGTCACGATAATTTAGTATACACACGGTTTCGAGTCAGCTTTCTGGATAAGCTTCTGTGAGCAATAAAGTTCTTACGTCCATTTGAACAGTTTAAAGTCAAACAACCAATTTTACAACAAATAACAACAAAATCACACCAATTTTATTTCATAAATCCACATCCAATCCATGAACGAATTTAAGAATAATTAAAATATGACGCCAACCCCACACGATAAATACCGGCCAAAGGCTCTATTTTCTTTTAATATTTTCGGTTTGATTTATGATTTTAATTGTAAATACAGTTCATCAAGAGAAAATTTCCTTCGTGCATTTTCTGATAAAAAGTCGTTACATTTTATTTTATCATTAAGTCATATTTAGTTTCTATCACAATCTGTTCTTTTCTGCATATTACTTTTACAAAATAATGTCGATGTGTCATATCAGCCAGGCGTCTCGTGACAGCAAAGACTTTATATAATACCTAGACTGTGCACGAAAAAAATTAGTTAATCTAAAGTAAGATTTATATCTGTAGTAATAGGATAGCTATTATCTTGATAAGCGGTCGCTAGTAAAAACGGTCCTGAGTGAGAAAGCACCCAACGGTAGTGTGTCCCTTTCTAACGTCTTGCCAGCTCAATTTATCATTGGGTTTGGTAGAAATGGTAGAAAATGTCATCCTTTTCTATTTGTGATTTACTGATTAATTACCGATACGAACGATTCGTAAACTATGAAACGTATTTAAACATTTATAGAGTTCCTATAAATAATAAAATAATCATTGATATTTTTAAAATAAATCTAAATACAGAGTAAAAGTAGTATTTAATTAGTTGAGCCTGGTAATACTGAATGTAAGATGGTGATTTGTTCACTTGATGACAATGACAATGATGACACTTGATGACAATTTGATTTGAAATATTGTAAATTTGCTTAATAAAGTGTATTTTTTTAAAATGGTGAACTCGTGTTGTGTAACAGGGTGCTACAATGAATCTTATTCCGGTAGCCCTTTTTCTTTTCACGGGTAAGTAAAACTTACAATCATATTCATTAGGTGTACCATGAATTTTGGAGGTAGATGAGATTTTCGTTCTTAACATGAGTTGTGTGAATTTAATGAATCAATTATTAAATAATGCGGTCGCGGTTACTTCCTTGTTTCGTAGGTACTTTTTAGAGCGTTTTTAGATTCGTATCATCATCATCATCAGCCTATTAATGTCCCCACTGCTGGGGCACAGGCCTTCCCTATGGATGGAATAGGGAGATTGGGCCATGACCCACCAGGCGGGCCCAGTGCGGATTGGCGGGTGCTAACGACTGCAGATGCAGCCGGGACCAACGGTTTAACGTGCCTTCCGAAACACGGAGGAACTCGAGATAGATGTTTTTGGTCACCCATCCAATGACCGACCACTGCGAAAGTTGCTTAACTTCAACCATCGCAGCCGAATGCGCTAATCACCTGCGCCATCGAGCTCCTCACAAAAATAGTAAAAAAAAAATTTTTTTTTCTTGTATTGTGTAGATTTCCGAAGAACGAAAAGCAGAAATTGATGTGGGAAAATGCAGTGCCTGGAAAAATTTCTAAGTCGTCAGTTGTTGGCAGTGCGCATTTTAAATATGAATAAGACATTTAAATAAGACTTGGAAGCTACGGGAAGTCCTTAACCCTTGAGCACGTAGGACATAAGGCTACATTGCGACAAAAACTGCGCAAAACTATATTATTTAGCAATGTATAAAAAACAATTTGAATAAAAATATTGTAAACAAATGATTGTCTTTTTTCCGTCCAGAATTTGATGAATTTGATTTGGCATTGACCGATTTATCTACCTCACAATATGTGGGTCCCCCTTACCTGAATAAACATACTTTTAAGAGTACTTTCCCTTCAGGTGGCTGGCATTACAAAATTCCAACCTTTTTACCTAATCTCAGTCCAAGCCAAGCTACGCGTACTAGTTTAAATACCGAATGAAACAGTTCATAGTACCTATGTATTTTTATTTTTAAAACCTACATACCTTCGTTTGGTCTGTGTTTAGAGGTATATGCATAGATGAGGTTTTTCATATTAATTAACACTACATAGTCTAAATTACGTAAAATAATAAGTTTTTGTCGATGTAACAGCAAAAGAAAGGTGCCTAAATCAGGTATTGGCATTTATGTTAAATTAATGGTAAGTCTGATGATACATTATTGTTTCTTAGGTTTTCACGCACATCACTCATTAAATAAAACTAGTTTTTCACGGGTTAATGCACGAAACTTTATTTATTTATTGACGTTTCGCAGCCTTTACAGGCCGCGTCGTTGGAATTTGTCATCATACAAAGACTTAGTGTAATTTTTTATTACACTAAGTCTTTGTATGATGCACTTACCAAGTTAAAAAATACGCCATGTAGTTTTTATTTTAACTCATAATCACAAATTACTTACATGTTTAGACAGTAGCAGATACTAAACACAGTCCTCTCTACAAGCTATATTAAATAACAAATACTAATAACAAATTTTGTCCCGCGTTACGCTTGAATATGGTCACTTCATTAGAAAGGAACACACTACCATTGGAAGCCCTCTCGCCCGGACCATTTTTAACGCGATGGTGCACAGTCTAGGTATTATATAAAGTCTTTGCGTGACAGTTACCATTTTTTTCTTAAGATTCAAACATCTAGCAGTTCAATGCATAAAAAATATAAGATTAATAAAACTTAAGGCTATATGAGCGTTGTTCCCTTTGCCTTCCGCGAAAAGAGGGATTGTTCAAAAAAATACTTGTGCATAACCTACAAATCGCAAAAGTCACAAATTGTAAAATAATAAATGCAAATTCTTATAAATTCCCTGTTATTCCTTAATTAAGTTGTACAAAATTTGACGAGCTCTTCTTAAATACGAAACAATGGCTGGTTATGAAATACGGACGAGCAATAGCAAAAAGGTATCTAGTTATTCGTTTACAAATGCAACAGTACAATACTGCCTCGAAACAGGATCAATAACCATGTAATTTTACAGGGAAAAGGATTGTTTGCAACTAAAAAGTACGATCAGGGCGCAGTCATTTTAGAAGAGGACCCGCTGGTGTCTTGTCAATTTGCATGGAATGCAGCTTATAGATACTTGGCTTGTGATTATTGTATGAGGTTAGTAAATATTACAAAAAAATCTGGCGCCTCTCTGATTAAATGATAAAGTTTATCCAATTGAAACTCCATTTCCATTATTTATATAAATCGCAAAAAATACTCCACTCAAGTGTTAGTATTTGTAGATTAAATTATGTGAATCTATCTGCAAAGATACCTAAAAATTGCCGCTCTGTTACTGTATTGAACCCAATCCCCACCCTGTGGAGTGTGTCTATCACTCGCCAGGAAGTGGTGGTCCATCTGTCACGACTCGCGGTCCGTCACTTGCAGATTCCTGTCGGGTCCAACACCAACAGTAATTCAACACCACCAAAGATTACTGTTATTTTGCTGTGCAGTGCTCTATTTAAGTAGTGAACCTTACCAAAATGTTTATGTGATTCCAGACCCTTGGAAACTCCTGAACAGAATGTTAGACGCTTGGCATGCAAGCCAGACATTGTTTTGCCCCATTCAAATTGCTTTGAAACAAATTTGGAGAGTATAACGACATGCAATCAGTGTGCAGTACTGTACTGTTCAGAGATGTGCAGAGACAGAGCATATGCTACTTACCATAGGTTGCTCTGTTATGACACAAGTGATGCTCAACACCCCATTACTGTGTTGTTGGAAGCTTGGAAGTGAGTAAAGTTTTTGGGCTAGTATTTCTTTTATAATGTTGATATTTTTGGAAAAGTTTCACAACACTAAAATTTAAACATAATCTAGTTAAACCTGGACAAAAATTTGATACTGTCACTTTTGTTTTCTAATATGAATACAGAGATAATATTAGGTTTAAACCGAGACTAACTTTAGTTTGTGTTTTGGAATAGGCAGAATGAAATTTAGAATTTCTGTTCTGTTTTTACTTAATATGAATGTAAAATTACTTACAAAATACAATGCTTCATTATTGCAAGGTATCTGTGACATGTATTCTAGTAATCATTTCATAAATTGTTTTTAGACAAATGCATTATCCTCCAGAAACGACAAACATAATGTTACTGGTCAGAATATTAGCCTACATTGAACAGAGTTCAAATCCAAGTCAAGCTGCAGCTAAAATCAAGCAATTTTGTCATCGTACAGTGAACGAAGATGCTGAGTTAGTTCACAAACTTTTAGGGGAACAATTTGCCGACCAATTAAACACTTTAAGAGATTTGACTAGTAATCTGATAAGTGGAGAACATGTACAAGAGGTATGTTTAAATTAACTTCAATTCTTGCAAAACTTGGGTGTTCTGGATTATCTTTTCTAAGGAGGAAGGATAGAGTCTGTTTAAGCTCATCTGCCCATCTAGTAAGCGAGTTTCTCAGAATGCGTGCTGGGTGTCCGGTGTAGGAGTATTGTCTGGTTTTTAGTGGCCCTGTTCAGGGTATTTGGTAGCACCCCTGCTCATTTCATCCGGCTCTAGGGCTGGCTGAAATGAGCAGGTAGGAATCCCACATACCTTCTTCTTGTTGAAGGATGCGAAAGGCATTTCCCAGACAAAAAAAGTATATATTTATTAAGTATGATTTATTAGAAGAATGTAAGGTATAAGAAGTAACCTGAAGATTTTATAATGTAATGGTTTGCAGTTTTTGACACCAGAAGGATTCTGTTCCCTAATGGCTCTCATTGGTACAAATGGACAAGGTATTGGAACCAGTCCTTTAGCAATGTGGGTGAATGCAGTGCTGGAAATCACAATGTCAGATGATGAACGGCAACAAATCGACTTGTTCATTGATAAATTGTACCAATATGTTGAAGAAGGTCAGTTTCATAAATAGATTTGTATGTTTCTATATGCATTTGTTTGTCTCATCAACTCCATTTGGTTGTACATGTTTCCGTAATAATAATCGATACATGTTCTTTTTATTATATTTCTTATGACATAACATTCATTCTAGAGGTGGTGTATGGAATCCCTTATCTGAGGCCCAAGCACAAACTTTAACAGCCCTATAATGGTATTGCATCATCAAAGTTTCAATAAAAACTAAGCAGCCAGGGACCTAAGAACAAACTGGCTGGTTCCATACAAAATATGAAGATAACAATATGATTACAATACTATCAAAGGTTGTGCTTGGGTCTTTACACTTTATTATTTTCTATTTATATTCTGATATATTTCCAGAGTCAGGCACTTTCCTCAACACAGAAGGCTCTGGATTGTTCCAATTACAAAGTGCTTGCAATCACAGCTGTGCACCAAATGCTGAGTCTTCATTCCCTTATGGCAATCACAGGATTCAACTGAAGGCCCTAAAGCCTATATTGCCTGGTGACGAGATATGCATCAGTTACTTAGACGATTGTGCATTACAGAGATCGAGACATTCAAGACAGAAAGTGAGTTGTTCAATTATTTGCTTTTATACACAATCATCTCCTTCAGACTTTACAACAAATAAATGATTGGAATAAAGGAGATTGCTCAGCTTCCATACATGTTTGGCCTAAAAACCAATAACCATGAAAAATTGTTTCCTACATTCGAAATTATATATAAATTACCGTAGAAACGAATATTATCGACGGCCACTCCTGAGAACTTCTATAAACCATATACACTGAATGATTTTGAGGTTATGTTTGCAAATAGGCACATAGGTATTAGAATAATAAAAACCAAATAACTTATATAGGAAAATAGGGCAATCAAGCCAAGTACCTACCGATATTATGTATTAGATTCAGGTATATAGAGCATGTAAAATAGCAGATATGTGCATGTTTTTAAAAACACGAACAGAAACTGTGTGATGATTGTGAATGAGCCACAGATTAGAGAGAATTTTTAAACTCTCGTTAATCAAAGAAAGCTAAGAGCTGTAGGTTATACAGCCATATCTTCAGCAGCTTCATTATTTTTGTTATGTTTTTATTATAACCATATTTTAGATTTTTAGTGTATCACACCTTATAATGTGTTTATTTAGGTGTTTGGCAAAAAATGTACGGCAATAGACTTTATGATGTCTAATATATTTTATCAATCTTTACAAAATAGATTTGTTTTGATGTTATATAAACAACCTCGATCAGTCTTTGTGAATGTTACTACACCCATAGCCAATAAAAATGATTCGTATGTTTTCCAAACCGGTAAAAATAGAAGTCCTTTTTTAAAATTAATATATTATTAAAAGGTGGCCGTTAAAATCTAATGACTATAAAATAAAGTATAAATTACGCCAAGAATTACTGTATATGTCAATATTTTATTTGCATTTAGGCCAATTTGACCAATCTCCTTTAAACAAAGTTTTATTTTAGGTGTTTAAATTACTTTTTATATAAAAATATAACCAACTTCAAAATCGAAAATGGAACTAAACAGTAAAAAGTAATATCTGGTTCATGGTTTGGAGTGGGGCGGGTCAAGTTTGAAAGACGTATTATTGCCGATCAGTAATGAAAACCAAATTAATGTTTCAATCTTGACGCCGCCCGACTTCCAAATCTCATGAACCAGATATTACTTTTTAGTTTTTAGTTCCATTTTTGGAATTGGAATTTCATCCGATAGACGACCACTAGTATTGATAATTATCTGAAACCATGAAAACATACCATTTATCATCAACAGAAATAGGGATAAAGATTAAGTAAAGTAAAGGAAATTCAATTTAATCCGTCAGTTAGTTTATCAAAAATTTAATGACAAATTTTTTTCTTTTATCTTAAAATTACAAAGATAAAGCTCGTTATAGTTTGGAAGTGCCATCATACGACATTTCACATCATTATATCTCTTTATAGTATTGAAAAAATGTATCCAATACTTTTTGATAAAACCTGATAGACGAAGAAAAAAAGTTATTCACTAGCCCTTTTAGCACAACATTTTTTGTCAATAGGAGTTAGCACAAAACTACCTCTTCGTATGCTGGTGCGAACGATGCAGTTCACAATCTTCCCAACCCGACTGCACCAGCGAGGAAGAGATGAGCGAAGACGACGCAGACGACTGATGCTCCAACCTGCTCGCCTTCTGTCTGCTGGGCGTTTAAACTGTGGGGAGGAATTGTCAAGTTTTAAATAATGCAACATTTGTGAAAAGAACAGGTGGGTAAGTTAGGTTGATGAAGGTTTTTGTCATAAATTCCGCATCTCATTAGTAAAGACGACGCAGACGACTGATGCTCCAACCTGCTCGCCTTCTGTCTGCTGGACGTTTAAACTGTGGGGAGGAATTGTCAAGTTTTAAATAATGCAACATTTGTGAAAAGAACAGGTGGGTAAGTTTTTTTTTTTTGAAGTTATACTTCTTTAGGCGCGTTTTGAAAAAATGATGAGAGTGAAATTTTAAGATGCGCGCGGATCACTGTAACACAAAATTTTAACAGCATGAAGTTGGTCGCTAAAGTTACTTTTGTGTTTACCGCACATTAAGAAAATCTACCAACAAAATAGAAATAGAATCTCTATTTAGTGGGTGCTAACGACTGCATTGTGAAGGCCTATCAAAAGTATTTATTAATCTGGACTCTACAAACAACGGAACCAAAGCGCGATTCAGAAGACTACAGCGCCATCTCTTGACCATTGGTGTAGTAGAACCAAAAACCACATCTTTACTTTTTGTAATAAAGTAACAGTTATAGGTATTCATATTTATAATATTTATCCACATGTTTCTAGTTTGTATATTCGGAATACGTGTTTGAGTTTCATACAAGTGCAAATCACATATGTTCTAATGAATTATATTCAGTAGCGATTTTAATTGAATATTTTGATTATTTATTTATTTTTTCAAATTAAAACTGAACTTTATTGACTGTGTCCTTTTCCAGACTTTTTATTAATTTATTGTAATTAATTATTTGCATGCAATTAAAAACTAATTTTAAACGATGCCAAAGAAGGATAACTTCTCACGCACCTACATAAGTACACGCACCCATTTTTTTTATAGATAGGTCCGACAAATGACACCACCCCACCTGATGTTAAGTGAAGGTGAAGTCCAGAAGCGAAGATAGCTGATACAGCAGTTCTAACTGCCACACCAGCCATCCTCACCCTGCCGGCCTGCAAGTTGCTTCTTCACGCCTCTTTTAAAGGATCCCAGGTTGTAAGAGGGAGGGAACACGTGAGCGGGCAGAGCATTCCATTTACGGATAGTACGACAAAGAATTGAGTCACCAAATTTCTTTGTAGGCGTTGGAATTGTAGCCACAGTTAGACGGTGACAACGTAAGCCAGAGCGCGTGGTCCTCTGAAGGAAAGGGGAAGGTGGAATAAGAGAGAATAACTCCTCAGAACACTCGCCGTGGTACAGACGATAGAACGCGCTTAGTGACGCCACGTCACGGCGTAATTGAAGAGGCTCGAGGTGTTTAGTCACCTCCTCATCGCCCATGATGCGGATTGCGCGCCGCTGTAACCTATCCAAAGCATCGAGCAAGTACTTAGCGGAGCCATCCCAGAGGTGCGAGCAATATTCCACGCAAGACCGCACCTGCGTCTTATACAACAAGCACAGTTGCTCGGGCGTGAAAAAACGCCGCACCTTGTTCAGGACTCCCGAGTTTGCGTCTGGCTGTTTTTATCACACTTTCGATGTAATTCTTTGGATTTAAGTCACAGCGAATCTCCATACCGAGCATGGTGATACTGCTCTCTAGCTCCAGTGTTGTGCCCTGAAGAGAAAGACATAAAAGGAATGGCGACGTTTTTGCCGTGAAAGCGCAGACGTGGGTTTTCTTAGCATTGAAGTCAACCAAGTTCTTGGTACCCCATTCAGAAATATGATCCAAAGCCTGATTGAGCTCAATGACAAGATTCTCCCGTTTCTCCTTGGTTGGCGCCTGCCCAGCCGCTGCTTGTCCGAGATACCCCGCATGCACTGTACTATCGTCTGCATAGCAATGAATATTCCCAAGAGGAATTAAGTCATTGATTTGCAGCAGAAAGAGAGTGGGGGATAGGACGGAGCCCTGGGGAACGCCGGCATTCACTGACATGAACCGCGAACTGCTACCATCCGTAAGGACACGAATTCTACGCTCATGCAGGAAGTCAGCTACCCAAGAACAAAACTGGGCCGGCAGACCGTATGCCGGAAGCTTGGAGAGAAGACTTTTGTGCCAGACCCTGTCGAATGCCTTGGCAATGTCAAGGCTAATAGCCAACGACTCGCCTCGCTTGTCGATAGCCTCACCCCAGATATGAGTCAAGTACGCTAGAAGATTACCCGTCGATCGTTTCGGTCTAAAACCATATTGACGATCATTAATCAGGGAGTGATCCTCTAGGTAGCGGGTCAGATGGTTGTTAAGGACCTTTTCTAGGACTTTACATAATACTTAGGTGACTGCTATTGGCCGGTAGTTAGCCGGGTCTGAGCGATCCACTTTTTTGGGTACCGGTTGCACGTTAGCATCTCTCATTAGTCGAGTGATTGCAATTCGGCACGAACCTCACGCTGTCTGATTTTGATATCAGGCGTCGTTGTGCCACAATGAGGTAATGATGGTGGCAGTGCATTGTAATCATCGATTCGGGAGTTAGCCGCAAAGAGTTTTGCCAGTAAATCGGCTTTCTCCTGCGTTAGTTAGGTTGATGAAGGTTTTTGTCATAAATTCCGCATCTCATTAGTAAAGACGACGCAGACGACTGATGCTCCAACCTGCTCGCCTTCTGTCTGCTGGGCGTTCAAAATGTGGGGACGAATTGTCAAGTTTTAAATAATGCAACATTTGTGAAAAGAACAGGTGGGTAACTTAGGTTCATGAAGGTTTTTGTCATAAATTCCACGTCTGTTGAGTAAAGACGACGCAGACGACTATTGCTCCAACCTGCTTGCCTTCTGTCTGCTGGACGTTTAAACTGTGGAGGTAATTGTCAATTTAAAATAATTCAAGATTTGTAAAGAGAACGGTTGGGTTAGGTTAGGTTAGGTTAGGGTTAGGTTTCGCCGCACGGGGCGCTGACATTCCGATTGGTGCAGGTGCTGTCCGGGCATGGCTGCTTCGGAAAGTACCTGCACATGATCCGGAGGGAGGCGACCCCGTCGTGTCATGAGTGCGGCGCTGCTGAGGACACAGCTCAGCACACCCTAGAGGTGTGTGGCGCGTGGGACCAGCAGCGTCGTACCCTAACGGCAACGATCGGTCGGGATCTCTCTCTGCCCAGCGTAGTCAACGCTATGCTGGGCGGCGACAGATCCTGGCGTGCCGTTGTCTCCTTCTGTGAAGACGTCATCTCGCAGAAGGAGACAGCGGAGAGGGCTCGCGAGGTGGTCCCTAGAGCTGACCTCCTGCGCCGTCGGAGAGAAGGAAGGAGAAGACGCCAATATGTGCGCCTCCTTCCATAGTTAAGGTTGACCGGTCCCCAGTACCTGGGGTCCCCGTGCACGTTTCGCCTCTGTTTGCACCCGTTTCTCGTAAGAGAAGTGGGCCGGCAGACGGAGGCGGTGCGAAGTGTGGGGACCTCAGGTGACACTTTGCTTTAGGGGGGGCACCCCCGTGTGCTGCGACCACGGCGCCGCCGGCGCTCGGATCCGGGACTCCGCATAAGCGGGCCCCCCGGGGCCTTGAGCCGGCGGTGCCGCGACCGCAGTGCTGCCGTTGACCTGGACGCCGCGCAAGCGACGACCGGGACATCGGCGGTACTGTGTCGTGGCTGCACAGAAGGGGCGGTGCCTGTCGACGAACGGCTCCTGGGGCGCGCTCCGTCTTTAGGCGGGAAGGTGGGTGGACGGAGATGCGCACCGTGCTGGGCGTCGTGCAGGTACTGCGGTCATCGGAGAAGGGACCTGCGAGGGGTAAGCCTAGGTGGGTCCCTTCAGTGAGTAGATGAGAAGGGGGGTCGGGATCGCACAGTTGCGCGTCCCTTCCCTCCAAAGGGGCCAGCGCGGGCGGTTTGACAACCCGTCTGCGCATTGCACGGACCCGCTTGTCTGGGGGATCGACTAGTTGCACCTAGTCCTCCCCCTCCCGAGAGGTGGGGCCTTACCAGCCCCCCACAAATGGGGGTGGCGGCCTGGAGAACTGGCTCGTTCCGTCCCCAGGCCTCATCCTCCCCCAGAGGGTGCACGCAGTGGTTTTAGCGGGTAGTCTCTGTTGGGGACCCTCCGCGGTATTTGCCGGGAGAGGACCCTGACGGGGGAGTCTCGCATATCCTCGTCGGTCGTCGGCCGGCGGGTTGAACGCGTAAATGCGTTTCCACTGCGACAAAAAAAAAGGGTTAGGTTTCGCCGCACTGCGTTCTTTGCGCAACGGCGTTAAAAGTGGCAAACCATCCGGTCGGCAGCAGAGACTGTAATGCTTCGCCGCCCGCGAAACAGAGAAAAGGGCCAAAGAAGAAAACCTCACCTACTCGCCAGGCACTAGCCACGGTCGAGGAGGAGATGGAGGTCGCGGCCATCCCGTGATGATGGCTGCCCGGAGAGCTTGGAGGACAAGGGTTCAGTCGATGTACACCTTGCTTTGAGAGCCGGGCGGCGGTAGGAGGGATTACCGTCGCTCGTTTAGGGCTTTCGGGGTGTTCGGGCGCGTCAATGTTCCGGCGCGCCCTCGCCGAGGGAGGGAGCTTCAGCTCCTATAATGAGGGGTCCGCAAGGACATCGCAGGGCGGGGCCGTGGTAGAAATTGGTAACGCCAGATCTCACGGTTTTACTCGCCCATATGTGTGACGACGGAACATCTTGGGGTTTTAGCCGGTAGGAGTCCGGCATAACCCCCCGTCTCCCTCTCGGCGGGGGGTATCCATGATGGATTTCCCAAGTAAAAAAAAAAATGGTTAGGGTTAGGTTAATTTGGGTTGAATTTAAAAGTATTTTTTTCTTTCTTAGGTTTCTATCTCCTTCTTATGTTAAATTATGCCAACAAAAAGAACTAATAGTATCTGCTGGTCTTGCAGTGTGTGCTCGGGGTTGGGATTTTATCTTTTGTATAATGGGTTCCCAAGCTGGTGGTATATACCAACCATCTTCCCTATTGAAATTTGGATATTTTTTAATCTCAAAAGCCTCGAGTATCATTCTAGGAATGAATCGTTCCTCAGTTGCAAGGATCTGTGGTTTATCAAATCTAATGTAATGGTTTGGTCCTATCTAAAGTAATGTAACATGCATTAGGGGGACCAAACCACAAATTTTAAAAATCTAACAATGAAATAACCGAACGCTCAATAAAATAAAAGTCTTTCGAAGGTAGCTCAACAAAATTATATAAAAAATCATTATTCTGACGAAGCAGAATTGAAAAGGCTGCGAAACGTCAATAAATAAATAAACTTTCGTGCATTAACCCGTTAAAACTAGTTTTATTTAATAGTTTTTGTCATATTTCCCTCGTATTTTATATTGTTAAATAGCACTAATACTCCAACGTGCTCGCCTTCTTTCTATTGGGTGTGGTAAGTTAGGTTGATGAATTTTTTTCCCATATTACCCTCGGTATTTCATATTGAAAAAGTAACCTGTAAATAAAATCTGGTCATGGATACTTGTTTTATTTATTCTGTTTTACCATAGACAGCAACTGATATTCTAACTTTTAGAAATTGGAACCAAATAATTTGCCAGTGTGAAGTGTTTTTGTAGCCCTTATCAGTGTTTTTGTAAATCTTTCTTTATTATTGTAAGCATTTCTGGTTTTTTTCTTTATTACTATCAACAGCAAATGATGGAAAAATGAACATTCTCAGTTTTGGTGCTGTTAAAAAAGTACTTTGCCAGTATGAAGCATTTCAGCCTTTATTTTTATTGTTTTTGTAAGCATTCTAATGTTATATGAAATAAATGACGAGTTAGCTTTCTTAATATGATGGTTAATAAATTTCCAAATTATTTTCATTATCAATAATTAAAGTAATTCATAAATATTTAGGTTTCGATGCTGTTGTATTTTTGTAGTAACTGTTTTCGTAATAAGTACCCATAACATTTTTAAACCCATTCCGCCTTATTATAAAAAGTTGACTAAAGATAAACCAGTACCCGTAGCACGAACCAATATCGAATTCGTATCGTTTGTGAGTAATAAATGTCAATGTCAAATGTGTATTGATTTTTAGTTCTCTTTACGTACGATATGGCGCTAATTTACAAATTTTCATACAAAATTTGTCAATGACATTTCGCACTCGCAAACTATTCGAATTCGATTTTGGTTCGTGCTAAGGGTACAGGACTTAAATTGATTCTGTCACTTTTGTTTTCTAAAAAAAGACGGGGACAACATCAGGCATAAACTTAGATTAACTTTAGTCCACGCTTTGGAATAAGGAGGTGTTTGTTTATATTATTATTTGTATGTTTTAAACATATTTTAAATATGTTCCAGGAACTGTTGAATAAAGATTCTGGTGATCGTCATCAATATCAGCATCGGCATTTACAAATCGATATATAAAACTTACAACGTAGAAGGACTTGGTACACATTGAGGTTAGTATTTATTAGGTTTAAAAAAAAAACTTTTAAAGTTTTAATTTATTTTTTCAGCAATGTGGAAAACACACATTACCTGTTAAGTTTTAACTAGCTACCTTAAGTTATTGTTTTGTGTGTCCAAGTCCTTCTTTCCCCAAAGTTTAATAAAAGCGGATATGGACTCTAAATAACTATTTAAATAGAGTGTTAGTGAAGTGTTTCTGTGATGAAATGTATTACCAAATTATTGTGCTATATATTATGTCGTTGGACACACATGCGGCGAGATTTACAAGCTATTTTTGAAAAGATTTGCGAACATAAAATCAACCTTATATGATTGTTATACGAATCTTATTCGCAAGCACATCATTAAATTTTATTGCATGTATTTGAGTTGTATGCTAATGAAAATAGGGTTGAGTTTACGTTGTAGAATTCGTAATAAAAATATTATCCACACACATAGGGTAGTTGTGGATTTTTACTTCCTTTTGTGAACAAGTTTTTCTCGTCGTATGTGGTATATAACAATCATGCCAAATCGTGGTCTATGTGAATGAAGTCAATTTTGCGGCTTAATGTGCTCATTGCATTTAGCTTTTTACGAGTAGCATTTGAATTTTATCTACTGAAATGTATGTAAACATAGATAAAACCGTGTAACACAGTTTTTTGTCATTGTTAAACATTTAGTAAGAGCTAGCGTGAATCGCTTAATGTTTTTTTTTTATTTATGCTGGGCATAAATTATTGATCTGTTGATTGTATGTAATTTTTATGTATTTTATTTTCTTTTTGAATTAATGGTAGCTTTTGGCAATGATGTTGTATTATGTTGTATGTATTTCATTTCAGTAGGGTCGAATCTAATGTTGTTGTACAAAACAGCAAGTTTCAAATTGCAGAAAACTGATCTGTGAACATAGAAATCATTTTAGTAGGTAAACATAGATACTGGCTAACTTCTTGAGCAAATACCATAGATAAGGAAGCCTCCTCAGTATCAATTTTACATACAAAAACGTATACTGCGCAAGTTTTTTTTCTGTGCTTTTACTCAAGAATTTTGCCAAGTCCTGTACCCCTAGCACGAACCATTATCGCATTCGAATAGTTGAATTCGATCTAATTTATACGTCAAATTAAACAGATTTTTAAAAATCAAAATCGTTTATTCAGTCTAGGCTGTTACAAGCACATGTGAATGTCTAGAAGCTACGCCATCGGTTCGCAAATGTACGGCGGGAGACCTTGTACTGAGAAGAACCGGCAAGAAACTCGGCAAGGGCTGTTTATATCTCCCTGTATTATATACAGAGTCGACAAATTGGAAAATGACTTCAATATGAGGTAACTCATGAAGTCACTTTCCATTACAAATGTAAATAATGTAAAAAATATGGCTATAAAATAAAATAAATATAAAGAACTGGTTTAACAAAGTTTAGGAATGTTTAGGAATGCCGTATCCTACTGTTTAGGCATAAAAAATGAACGATTAAAGTTAAGTACAACGATTTAATTCTCATTACGTCCGTTGTGGCGCTGCTGTTCAAGTTTCGATATTGGTCCAATTCGATATTGGTTCGTGCTAAGGGTACTGTACTATGCAGTCCAGGTGATTGTCGTCATCAAAGATTTAAATATATTTTTACTAAGCATAGTCATAGTAAAAAATAAATTTGATCTTTTAAGTGGCTGGCTTAACTAACGATTCAAATCTTTGATAATCTTTGCACTAGATAGTTTGGTTTCTATTATTAAGTACCATTTCATGCATAAGCCGTCTTTGTGAAATATACAGCGTCAATTGAAATATAGTTGTGGTTGAAAATAACTTTCAACTTAAAGGAACTTTTAACTTCCATTCGAGTATTATTGTTACAAATTGTAATAGGTATATTAAGTGTGCTCTTGCGCATAAGCCGTCGTCCTAATTAGCAACGTTTGCACCATGACACTTTGACGAAATCCGCGAACGAGTGGTTTGTACGCCGGGTTTCAAGGTATCGTGAGGTCCCGGGTTCGAATCCCGGTGGGGCAGATGTTTGTGTGATGAATACGCGCATTTGGACTCTAGTCATGGATGTTATATATGTATTTTATGTAAATATATACAGGGTGGTCCAATTAGTGACGTCAACAATTTTTTTAGAGTCCTCGCACCTGGGGGTATCCGAAAATACCCCATATATGTTCCGCGGTTTTTCTTAGTTTTCGAGTTATATATTTTTTTGTGTATTTTTAATGATTTCCGCCAGCGAGGTTTCAAAAATTCATATCTTGTTTCGTAGTAGGTATTTTGCAGTTTATTTTTGTGAAATAATTGTCTTGAATGTTGTTTTAATAAAAAAATAACTTAACTTCCTGAAATTACTTAAAGTTACTCGAAAAAGGTTTGAAAATTTGAGCTTTGGTTTTTGTAGGATATACTCACTTCAATTTAAAAATACAAAAAGGAGTTTCAAAATAAAAACTCTGCATGCTTCTAAACTACCAAAAATCGTAAAAAAATGTACTTAATCAGCCTATTTTATTTGTAATTGGCCTTCGAAGGCGAATAAGCTAAAAATCATTGAAACACGATTGAAACATTTAACATTATTTTATCTCTAGCATTAAAAATACACAAAAAAGTATAACTGGAAAACTAAGAAAAATTGCGGAACATACATTGGGTATTTTAGGCCGCACGAGCACAGGTACGTTTTTTTCATCGCACGAAGAGATCCCATGGTGCCATCGCACAATCGTTGCCAATTAGGACGTCGCCTAACGATTATGGTATATTGCGATGACCGACTATGGTATATAGATGAAATGCAAATACCTAATGTAGACCAGTCGATTCTTGTAGTCAGTCAGTTGTTGAAGTGGGATGGTGATATACATATATTCTGTGTAACGGTTTCTTGCTCAAACGAGCTTACTGGTTTGATTTCTTTCCTAGATGGATAATAGCAGTAAATCTTTAGCTCCCATAGACAAGTACATTTACTCAATGTCATTTGGACGAAATAACCAATAAATATTTACTTAACTAATAGTAGGTGTATAGAAAATTATGAAAACTATAGTTTATAGTTGCTAAAAAGAAGTCCTGAATTGGAGGCTGAAAAAATTTTTTGGACTATTAAAATAAGTTGTTTTTTTTACTTCCGATTTGAATAAACATGTATTTTTCAATACACTTGCTCAAAAATGCACTTACGAAGGTTGTATACATTGAGCGAAAGTTCATAATTACGGGCCATACAACGGAGTGTGCGGTAAAACATTTTACCGCACGCTCCCACACATGGAGCGTGCGGAATTCTTTACGGTTTCTTTAAAATTTCGGTTGAACCTCCTTGGAAGTGCTTTTAATCTAAAACTCTGTCACAATTTAATACTAAAAAGAAAAAGAGATGAAAGATGTAGTTCTAATTTTTTTATAAGGAAAAGTTTCCATTATTATTCAAATGAGGTATCTACTTATACTGTTTTCCCGCAAATATGTTGAAAAACGTATGACATTCGTGCGGAATTGGTATTTACAAACTTGTTACTATGGTAAGCCCTCGACTTTCTAATAAGCAACATACCGCCCTAATATCATAATAGTTTAAATCTAAAGAAAATATAACTAGAAAAAGTTTCACGCGGACCAGGCAGCAGACGGAACTCGAACCCGCAACCTTCGCTATCTGGGTGAATGCACTGACCAATTATGCTACTATGCAGCCCTAACGAACCGCGTCGAAATTCGTCTAGCCATTTTTAAGCTGCAAGGCAGCGCCATCTCTTCGCATTATAGGTAACCCACTATGTAAAATATAATCATAATAGTTTTTACGACCGCACGCTCCGTTGTATGGCCCGTTATCATGAACTTTCGAACAATGTAAACAACCTCGGTAAATGCATTTTTTGAGCAAATGTGTTGAAAATGACTATTATATGTTTTTTTTGTATCGGTAGCAGATAATTATGTATTCTTTTATTCAATCCACAAAATCTGATTTGACTTTAATTCAATTGAACTTCGCTTGACATAAATTGTCAAAAGTGTTATAAACTATTATAATAGTTTTGTAGATATGATCACATTATTTTTCGTGGAGCCGCCATACACGGGCAGCTTGAAGCAGTTGGGATGGACTGCTTGCTGCTACTGCGTGTAATGGCGAATATCGCATACTTGTTACGAAAAAAGGCCTAATGTGGCATTTTCGCCCTATTTTTTTTCATCATCATACAGTTTCCGAAAAATGCCTTATTCGCCGGTATGATGCTCGAGCAGTCCGATTATGGCCGCTCATAGTAATCGCACCATTCTTTATCTATAATCTATCTATTCTATTGACTTAAAAGAGGCGTAGGAAGAGTAGGACCAATTTGAAATAACGATAATTAAGCCTAATTATACCTAAATAATGAATTAATAAATAACAGCGAGGATATAATTTGTTAATTTCACTTATTATATCAGCACTTATTTTCCAGAATGCGCCCAAGAAGGTTACGATAAATTAATAAATTTCGTGTTAGGATATAACTTAAAATACTTGAGTCCAACGTATTCTTATCGCTGCATGAATATTGAGCTTAGAAGTCTAAAAATTTTATAAAACACTAAGCGGCGGTATAATTTTAACTCGCAATGCTTTGTAAAATTCACACTTACACATTACGATAAGAAATCCAAATTGAGGTAGATAAAGTAAGGCAGATTTTCATTGTTCCAAGAATAGAAGTAGTAAGTAAGGTGAGAACAATTTTGTTACTAGTGCTTGAGGTACGGCCCTTGAATGAGGGTTTCTGGAATGAAATGCACCAGGTGGCAGCACTGACACGAAAGGTCTACTCATCCGTCAAATCCAAAGAGGTATAAGAATTGAGTAGGGGAGATATAGACTATACACAAGTGGAAGTGTCCCTCTAATAGAAAGAGAAAGAAGACGAGAGACCGCTAGCTTTCTCTCTCTTTCGTGCATGTGCATTGGCAACCGTAAGCATCTTACTATTTCGATGTGATGCCATTTGATGCCATGCGTCACAAGAGAGAGAGATAGGTAGAGATCTCTCATCTTCTTTCTCTTTCTACTACTAGACGGACACTTTTAGAGCCGCCTTCCCCACTCTATTCTTATACCTCTATGGTCAAATCGCGTATGTCACAATGGCGCTAACTGGTGACGTAAATTTTCCTAAACTCTCGTTGCACAAAAGTCTGCGATGGGCTTATTAGTAAGGATATAAATTGAGGTCCAAAGTTTGAGACAGTATTTCAAAGTAAAGAAACGAATTTCAGCAACGAGCTAATTCGGCCTAATGGGAAAGAGATCGACACGTACAGGTATATATTTGTATATAATTCGATATTGTATTGTGTTTTAGGTGTCTTTCTCGACTATTTCCCTAATAGTAGTAAAGTATTTGGTGGTTAAACACTTAGGCGATATTATTCTGCAATAAATTTGAATATTCTATAGAATTTCTTCCAATGTTTCA